TTAAATTTTTATCCTTTCATAAAAGTAATTTTTTGTATTTATTAGCTACTTAACCGGCAATTGGATGAATTGCGCCATCTACTTACTACCTATAAAAATGAAGGAAAGAAAAGTAGATATTTATATATACTGTAATCTTTTGAATTTTAATAGAAGAGTGAAAAAACTTTTTTTTCTAAAAAAACAGAAAATAATTATTTAATTTATGTATTTTTCAATTTTTACTGTCAATTTTCTGTCAATCTTTTCAGTTTAGTCTGGATAAAATTGGAATTAAATTTCAGAAAATATTGCTAAAATAGGAGATAAACTAGTATCTACGGAAATACTTCAAGGTGTTTTGAAGCCTTGAGTCCACGCAACTTTTGTCATACGGACGGAGCCCCTGCTCAAAAGAAAAAAAAAAGTGAAAGTTTGATGCCCAGCCAATTTACCCTGTTTTATTAGCCTCAAATATAGCCATCGTACCTACCGGATTTGAATTCGATGTTTACTCCTTTTGGTTTATTTTGGAAGCTTAATAACTTTAAGTTTGGAGTCGCTACGGTAACCACTTTTTCGGGAATGGGACAAAATCTCACACGAGGAGGAATGAACTTTTGACCAAAATTTTTCCACGCGTCCCTATTTAACTCTCTATGAGTTAACAACAAAAAATTATTTTCAAATAAATAAGCTAAAATATATAAATCCTTCTGGCCTTAAAATTTATTTAAAAATATCCATCTGCTGATGACAAGAATGCCAAAAAATATTAAAATATACTACATTTTAGTCTGTCATCCAAAATTGTTTAACCGTTCCCGCCATTTCTGACCACTTTTGCATTTTCTATTTCCGGACATTATTTTCTAAATATATTTTTTAAAAACACTAGCGGAGGGGGTCGCCCTTCGGGCGAGCCCCTTCCGCTAGCCAAATTCTAAACATTACATTAACTTAAATTAAAACACCTCATACTTAAAACCTCGGTCGTCAACTATTAACATAATTCAACTATTAACTAAGACTTTCAACTATTAACTATTAATATATATGTCTACTATTAACTATAAATTTTCACTATTAACTATTAACAATGATTTAACTATTAACTAAGACTTTCAATTTAAACTAAGACTTCCAATCTTCAACTATTAACAAAACTTCCAATTTTCAACTATTAACTATTAATATCTGTCTACTACATATTAACTATTAAATTTTCAACTATTAACAATGATTCAACTATTAACTATCAATTTTCACTATTAGCTATTAGCAATTATTCGACTATTAACTTAGATTTTCAACTTTCAACTATTAATATCTATGTCAACTATTAACTATCAATTTTCAACTATTAATGTCTATATCAACTATTAACTATTAACCAACTTTCAAATATTAATATACAAATATTAACCAACTTTCAAATATTACTTTTTAACTATTAAATATTAACAACATTAACTATAAACTATTAACAACCCTTGTCACTTAACCGTTGTCATACTTCTATCTCATTCACCACCGCTTTTTTTCACCCATTGTGGTACCGTTTTCTCAAGCATATTGAACGACTATTATCTCTTTCCCATTGATGGACCCTTTTTTATCTAGTTTATTGGCGAACCCTTTTCTCAATACATTTGACGGACACTTTTATCGTGCTTATTGCTCGAAATCTTTTCTTCCAACCATTGCCAGAACTTTTCCCCAGTTTACGGGACCATTTTCGCTCACCATTATTCCAACCATTGACAGACCTATTTCACAATGTTACGGGACCGTTTTCGCTTACCATTATTCCAACCATCGTCGGATTTTTCCCCCATTTACGGGACTCTTTTCGCTCACCATTATTTCTTTCCACACCTTCACCCATTTACGGGACCCTTTTCGCTTACAATTATTCCAACAATCGCCAGACCTTTTCACCCATTTACGGAACCCTTTTCGCTATTTATTATCACACAATGTCAAACTCTAGTACTCTACTTTAGTACTCTAATTTAGTACTACTCTACTTTAATAGTTAATAGTAAAAGAACTTTTTTACTATATATACTACAACTGTTAGTTAATAGTAAAAGAACTTCTTTTCTATATATACTACAACTGTTAGTTAATAGTAAAAGAACTTTTTACTATATATACTACAACTGTTAGTTAATAGTTAATAGTAAAAGAACTTTTTTACAACTGTTATACTACAACTGTTAGTCACTCTAGTACTCTCAACTATTTAGTGTCACACAATGTCAAACTCTAGGACTATCAACTATTTAGTATAACCAAACTCTAGTACTCTCAACTATTTAGTGTCACACAATGTCAAACTCTAGGACTATCAACTATTTAGCATCACACTATGTCAACCTTGCTAGTACTATGAATTATAAGCTATTTAGTGTCACACAATGTCAAACTCTAGGACTGTCAACTATTTAGCATCACACTATATCAACCTTGCTAGTACTATCAGTTATAAGCTATTTAGTATCACACAATGTCAAACTCTAGTAATTTCATACATATATTTAGTATCACACTCAAACTCAGAAACTAAAACCTAACTATAATTATATTAAAAACAAACCTCACAAAAATTAACCACCGGTTGGACACTCGTTGTTTAAATAAAATATCAGCAGTGAAAACCAACGGTTTGACGCTCAAGTTGTTTAAATAAAAAATTGTTTTGATTTTGAATCTAAAAACAATTTTTAAATAAAACCAATTTTAAAAAACAAAAAAAAACAATCAAAACACATCTTAAATACAATTAACAAACAAAAAACTTGAAAAAATTAAAAAAAAATACAAAACAAATTCTAAAAAATTCACATTCTTTCTTTACTTCTCTAAATACACACTATTTTCACTTTGGGATATTTTGTCATTTTTAATAAAAAAATAAACACAACGCCAAACACAGCAAAATTCAAAGCTGCGGACAAACAAACAAAAATTCTAAAATTATATATAGGATTCCAAATATATAAATTGTTTATTTGCGCAGAAAATTCGCTCGTTCCCGTTTTTAATTTTTCTATGGCCAGTAAAAATAAATAAACGAGAGAAGGAGGATATATAGAAGGGCAGATGTTCGTTTATATTTGGATGGAATTAAAAAAAAATAGGAGGGCAGGTGAGAGGCAAGAATTTTGGAGAAGGGGGAGGGGGTATTTTCTCATTCTTTTTTTTTCTCCAGAAGAGATTGTTGTGGTGGTGACCGGTCATCTCTAGTTTTGCACAAAAAGTATTTAAAAATTCCAAAATGTCCTAGTTATAGTACTCTATACATATATTCATGGCCAATCTAAAAGAAATTTTGGAGGAAAAGAATTTTTTAATTTGGAGGGGTTTTGAGTAAATCCCTCTATTGACATGAGAAATAAAATTTGTGTTGGTTTTTATGAATAGAGTAATTTCTGACTAAAAATTTAAAAAAAAAATAAACAAAAATTAATAAAAATTATTTTTTTATTCAAAATTTATCCAAAAATTATTTTTTAAAGAAGTAATAAATGAAGAAATATTTAGGAGTAATAAATTTTCTTTAAAATTTAAATTTATTTAATAATTAATTTTAATAATTTTTGTTCTTCAGCCCAATTACCTATTCATTAAAATTTTTCCAATCTAAAACTTTAGTTTGTGTACCTATTTAAAGTTTTTTATACTTAAATTTAACTGACAGATGTTGATTGTTTTCTTTACTTTATTTTCAATCCAAATACCCCCAATTACATCCCTCGCGCAACAAAAAATAATAAATTTTATTTTTAACATTTATCCAAATATTTTCAACGGTTATTTGTTAATGTGGCACATGCCAATAAAGGAAGATATAGAAGAAAACAATAATTTTGGGGAAAGAAAACACGCGCACATCTGCCACTTTTCATTCCCCCTCTATTTAAACTCGTCATGTTTTCTGTTCACCCTCTACCCCCTCTACCCCCTCAACCCCCCCCCCTTCCATTTCCTCTTTTTTCAAAAATTAAAATATCCATCTAGTACTTGTTGAATTGAAAAAAAGTCAGCTGTCCATTCATTCTTTCTTCTGTTTTCTGTCTAATTTTCCACACAATAAACAGGCACGAACACTCTCTTCTAATGGCCTAATTGCCTGGTCAAGCGCAGAGTACAAATAACTAAAAATAGTTAAAGCTTGTTGATGCTAGAAATTAATGGATGGATGGATAAGCCTTAAAAAGAAAATAATTCTAGACTTTTGGACAAACAAGATTAGATATTGAATATATTTATTGGGAATATTTTTGTTTAAATTTTAAATTTAAAAGTTCAAAACTATTACTGAAATACACAAGTAAACTTGCTCTACTAATTTTTTAAAATATTTAATGTTTAATAAAAATAATTAAAAATTTGATTTTTTTTTTAATTTTCGAAATTAAAATTTTGTTATTTTAAAAACAATTTAAATTTTTATTTATTTTCTAAATATTTTTTTAAATTTTTTTTAAATTTTATTTCGTTTATTTCTTTAAACAAAAAAGATGAATCGTCTTCTTCTTCCATTCAACGTTAAAAAAAGAACAAAACATCATTGTAAAAGAAAAACTGTCGAGAATACCATCGATGAGTCTCTAGGGATTGAAAGGAAAAACTTTAAAATGAAAGGAAAAGGAAAGAAATGTTTGGGGTGTTTTTGCACTTTTTTTGATTTTTTGGTGTTTATAAATAATTTTTTGGTTTTTAAATAATAAAAATTTCTTTTTAAAGATTTTATTGTTTTTTAAAGTTTAAAATTAAATAATGATCGAGGCGGCTGCACAAAGCTTTATGGCAGCCAGAAATAGGTATCGAGAAAAGTAAGTTTATCTTTTAATTTAAATTTTAGCGAATAAATTAATTTCATTAAAATCTCCTCGATGCTCCTCGATGCTAAAAACGAGATAATTTTTATCCTCTGTTAAACAAATTTGGAAAAAGAGGTCCTATCTGAAAATAATCTTTTCATTACTAATTTTTCCTTCCTTACTATCTATATGTATAATGGGAAGTCTTTTCTTCCTCGTTTAATTCCACTAAATTTATCTGTGGCATAGTCAAATGAAAGATTATAAAGAAAAGAATAAAAACCAAAACTAAACAAATAGGTATTCGTTTTTTACTGGTGAGGGACAACTCACTGAATTCCAAAACACAGTCCTAACAAATCACAGTCAGACAAGTCAAGATCCTACCAAATCACGGAACGACCAAAATACAGACTATACCAATCTTTTCTTTGTTGATGTCTCCTATTTGGAGAAGAAAGTCTGGTTTGAATATGCTAAGGGGAAATTGAGTAAAATTAAGGAAGGGAGATTGAGAATTTAATTTTCCCATGCAGGTTCGAACAATCTTCCCGAATTTTAATGTTCTGGTTAGATAAATCATTCGAAAGTACTCTTTGAGCTGAGTCGAATGACACCGAAATCAACTCGATTGTATGATTCTGAACAAAGTTATACCCAATCGAAGTTTCACTGGAACGGAGGGCTCTCGACATGCCCGGCTTCCTCGCAGCGGCAAAAACTTTTTTCCGCGTAGCTTATGTAAGAAGTAAAAACAAATGGTCATTTGATTCAGCTCGCGGAGCTCTTTCGATTGACATATAAATTGTCTAAAATCGCCCGGTAAAGTGCCCTTTAGGGGTGATACCAGGAATGGTCTGCCTTACACAGAATTCCGTTTTTACCCTTCCGCTTTTTAAAATTCGGGAGAATATTTTTAAAAAATAACTTTAATTAAATTTCAATAAATTAATTATGTATTTTTATTTAAAAAAAAAGAAAAAGACTAAGTAGAAGTGTAAGTGGAAAAAGTCTTGATAGGCAGTCAATTGCTTCATTAGATTTATCTTCTGATATACCTTCAAGGCGTATTTGTTCAAAACATTCTGGCAGAGAACTTCAATTAGATGATAATGAATGTGAACAGTTATTTAAATATTTAAATTTTTAAATAAAAAAAAATAATTCTTTTTAAAAAAGATTAAGTAATTCTTTTGCTTCTTTACCTAATAAATATGATCATTTTGAGGTTATTTTAATTAAATATTTAGAAATGTTTTTATTTTTAAGAAAATGTTTTTGCGCCTTTTTTTGGTTTGTTCCCTTTAAAATTCCTTTAAAATTACTAATATCTCTTTAAAAGCATATAGATTTGAATATTCCAATTGTTTTTGGAATGTCTGGAATACCCGAAGCAGAATTAAGAAGAAAAACGCCTTTCAGAACACATGTCTGTAAATTTCAACGTTTTTTGACAACAGTAATGGATTTATTACCTGTTTAGTTATTTTTAAATTTAAATTATTTAAATTATATTAATTTAGAAACATGGAAGGGAAGAAGAGCTTGTACAAATTATTAGGTAATTTTAGAAAGGAAATAATAATATTCTTTTTAAAGAATGGTTGGAAGGCAACATTGTCAAGTAAAACAACTTTCATTTACAGCAGCTAGATGGTTATCATTTAAACAATCAATGATTGAAACATTTGCTAATCAAAAAAATGGAAAATTAAAAACCCAATGGTCTTTACTAATTTCCTTTTTAATTTACGAAATTAAAGATGCTTATTTGGCACATGTAAAAATTAATTAATTAATTTTTTAATTAAAAAATAAAATAAAAGATTCGAACACTTCGCTCAAGTTCTCTTCCACAAATTGTAGAAACAAATAAACTTGAATTTAGACGGAAAAAGAGTCAAACACAATCACCTCAACAACAAAAACAAATTGAAAAGAAAAAAACAAAATAAATTAATTGCCTTTTTAAAATAATTTGGCTGTACTTTAGCCGGTGGCCCACTCAGAAACGGGTCAAAATATATACCATTCGATTCGTCTCGGCGAGCTGAGTCGAATGGTATAATTCTTTTTTTGCGGAAATTCCTACGCGCCGAGATATAGGTACTTAAAAATCGAAAAACCATAGGGGGGACCAAGCACTTTTTTGGGGTGAAAAATTCGAATATGCAAATAATAGCTCATTCGAAAGAGCTCGTCGAGCTGAGTCGATTGACACCAAAATCAACAAATCTGACTTGATTTGACAAAGTTATGAGCATTTGTTTTAGCTCCTTACCTATGGCATCTGTGGAGATTTTTGCTGCTACGGAGGCCCCAAATACGTCCAGAGCAAGGGAGATAGGAATAGGGTTATGTTACAAGCCCAGACCCAGCGCCCGTAGACTCCCCGCGAGGCGTGTGCCGCAAAACCCCGCGCGAAGCGCGGGGTTTTGCACAAGCGCCTCGCCGACGCCCCATAGGTATATGTTGCTAGTTTTTTGTGTTGTAACTTTGTCTAAACTTGTTTAATCCTGTTGATTTTGGTGTCAATCGACTCAGCTCGACGAGCTCTTTCGAATGAGCTATTATTTGCATATTCGAATTTTTCACCCCAAAAAAGTGCTTGGTCCCCCCTATGGTTTTTCGATTTTTAAGTACCTATATCTCGGCGCGTAGGAATTTCCGCAAAAAAAGAATTATACCATTCGACTCAGCTCGCCGAGACGAATCGAATGGTATATATTTTGACCCGTTTCTGAGTGGGCCACCGGCTAAAGTATATCCAATAATTTATTTATTGTTATTATCAAGATAAATTTAATTTTAATTATTTTATTAAAAATAAATTTTCCTTAATTTCCAAAAATTCTTTTCCTTTTATTTGCGTCATTTTCCACCTCTAAAAAAATTAAAAATAAATATGTATTTATTTTAATTATTTAACTAACAATGATTGAAGAAGACCGCCTAATTGACTTGGATCAAAACGAATACCTTGTTGAGTATTTCCTTCACCTCCCCCACCGCCTCCTCCTCCTCCATTATTCCCTCTTTCTCTAACTTCTCTTATTGTATTAGTTATTAAACGAATAAATTGACCTAACAAAAAAATTTTTTATAAAGATTAAATTAATTTTCTAACCAGCCTGTCCAAAAGGGGTTTCGATTCCTCTATTTCCAGTCTGTATAGAAGGGGGCGGAGGAGGTTGTCCTCTAAAATTATTCCCCAAATGGTTTTCTGTCGGCATTGGTACAGGACGAATGTTTTCTTCGTTTGGCAGAGGTTTTTGTTGTTGGACCGGTAATTCTTTTAAAGTAAAAAAGATTAAAAATAATTAAGATTTTTTATAAAATATTTATTCTTTAATCTTTTATTGTTCTCATAAAGGCAGGGAATGTATCGAGAATGATTTTCTTAAGTTAAGGAAAATCCAAAAATATTTCCTCTGTAATTAATTTAATTTCATACAAAATCAAAACACCTTTAATGCAATATTGTACAGCTTGTAAGCATTCATTAAATGTATCAAAAAGATTATCAGAGTTAATATTGTTGCCTTCTTTTCGACAACCAGGAAACCAAAACTGGAAATTTTGTTGAAAGTAAAATTAAAAATTCTTTCTTGTTTACCTGATCACAAGTCCGTGTCTCTCTATTAAAGGCAAACTTTAAACGAAATCCACAAAAACGTCCTTCAGCCGGTAATTGATCACAAATAGTTAACTGATTGGAAATAATTGGTTGAGGTAAAGGGGGTTTTGAACTTTTTTCTTAATCTTATAATTTATTTTTCTTTTTTTATATTTTACTTGCCTTTTGGAGGGATTTGGATTTGGGGTGGTTTTATTGAAGTTATTTGTTGATTAATATTAGGTTGGGAGATTGAAGGTGTTGTTGAAGAAGAGGAAGTATTTAATTGTTTTGTTGTTGTTTGTGGTGTTTTTGGTGTTTCTAAAGGTTTTCCTTCATTTACTGCAATTAAACATTTTTCTGGCAATTCTCGACAATTATTTGCTGCTTCATTTTGATATTGGTTAGATGGACGCATACAAAGTTGATAGGGGAAATTACATTTAAAAGGATGACATTCAATTGTTGAAACAGCCAAAAAAGAGCTGTCAGAAATAAATACTTCGCCTTTTTTTGGAAAAAATATGTAATTTTAAGGAAAGAATATTTACTTACATTCGGGTGTTTCAAATAATTTTTCTAAAAAAGGATCCAAATTTTGAGGTAATCCTTTTATTAAATTTATTAAAAATAATAATTTAATTAATATTTTATTATTCCAAATTAACATTATTTTTAAAATATTTAAAATTAAAAATTAAACAAAAACATTCTTTTTGTGCCGATATTTAATAACCATCGATCAGTCAATAGCCGCCGACGGCCACCACCTCTCCTCTAGTCTTTGAAGATGCGTAAATCACTGCTAATAAATCGATTTTCTTATAAAATTTATTTTTCTGTTAAAACTTGTTTTCTTTTTTAGCTTTATTAGAAAAGATATACAAAATATAAAGTATTTAATTAATTATTAAATTATTTATCCATTTACACAATGCATAAATTTAAAAAAAGAAAATTCGGGATAATTTTAAATTTCCGCGTTTTCGTTTCAATAAATTGTAGTTTTAATAAATATAAAATACAACAGAGAAAGACAAAAAAATTTTTTTCTAATTATTTTCATTTTATTAATTTTGTTAATTTATTTAAATTAACTCTCTTTTTTCTAGTTAATTTTATTAAAAAAATTTTAAATTAAAAAATGGAGCATGTTCAAGCTGTTATTGATCCTGGAAAGAAATTTGCAAAAGATTCAATTCGACTAGTTAAAAAATGCACAAAACCGGATCGAAAAGGTTTTTTCTTTTCTTTTAAAATAAATTTAAAATTTTATTTTTAGAATATCAAAAAATAGCATTTGCTACAGCAATTGGGTTTGCAATTATGGGATTTATTGGTTTTTTTGTAAAACTTATACATATTCCAATCAATAATATTATTGTTGGGGGAGGCTAATTTTGTGCCAAGAAAATGAAGGAATTAATTTTTAAAAGAGATTTTATTTTTCTTTTCTTTTTTTTAACGATTTGTGGTGACTTTTCTCTAAAATTTAATTTTATTTGGTTGTCTTTTTAAAAAGTAAAAATTCTTTAAAAGTTTATTTTTTGCTATTTAAATTAGTAATTTTTATGCGAAATTTTAAGGATAAATGAATGGTAAAAATTTTAATCTTGAGGAGGAGGAGGGTGCTTATATATTTTTGTGTATTTCTGGCAAAAGAAAATCGGGAAAAGGTATTTAAATAAATATTTTTTGGGGGTATTTTTGAAAATTGGGAAGGAAAGGTCTTAATGATAGATAAAGTATATAGCTAAAAAGGGGCAAGTATCCTGCCGGAAATCCTTGACTAAATGTTTTTAAATATTTTTGACTTAGTGTTAATTTATTAATTTCTAATTAATAAATTTAAATTTTAGATTATATAACTCGTCAATTGGTTAATTTACTCAACAAACAATTTCCTTCAATAATTACTTCAATTTGTACATTAAGCGAGCCTTTAAAGAAAGAATTTGCTAAAATTAATAATTTAAATTTTAATGATTTAATGAGTGATGGAAAAGCTAAAGAATTGGTTAGGAAAGAAATGATTGAATTTGGAGAAAAATTGAGAAGAGAAGATTTTGGGATATTTTGTAGGTAAATTAATTGGAGGGGAAAGGAATATATTTATTTTTTTAGAAAAGCTTTTATTGAAAGAAAAATTCAAAATTTACCTCTAACACTACCAACAAATCCTTCAACAACAAATAAATTTAAAGAAATTATTTTAATTTCTGACTGTCGTAGACCTACAGATTTTGAATTTTTTAAAAATAATTTTAAAAACTCCTCAATTATTTCCGTCAGAATTAATTCAAAAATCGAAATTCGACAAAAGAGAGGATTTGTATTTATTGAAGGAATTGATAATGAAGAATCTGAATGTGCTTTGGATGAATTTAAAAATTGGGATTTTAATTTATTTAATAATGAAGAGGAAGGAAAGGGAGGGGGAGAAGAAGTTGAGAAAGAATTAAAAAATATTATTTTTTATTTAAAACAATTAATTAATTGAATTAAATGCTGCATCTCTAATTCGTCTATATGTTCCATTTAATTCTCCCATCCCCGTTTTTAGTCCATTAGTTACATAGGCAATTACTAATTGATCATCTGGTGATACCATTACTGAAGTCCCGCCAAAACCAGGATGTCCAAATAACCATTTATCCTTAAAAAAGGAAAGGGAAAGACTTTCATGTCAAGAATTATTTCTACTTTTTTGCAAGGATGCCTTTCATACATAAATCCATTTCCCTTATTCACAGGCACCATTAACACAAAATCACGGTGGTTTATCATCTGTGGACGACTGATGTATTCAAGTGTTTTACGTGATAAAAACTCGCCAGAAAGCAACTTTGCAAAGATACAAGCAAGGTCCTTCGCCTTCCCTATACCCAAAGCACCGGCTTGTTCAATAGGAAAAATCTCCGGATTATTTAATGTACATATTTTCTTAAAAATAATACAAAAATCTAGGCAATTAATGTATCAGTAATACCGAATTAATATTAATCCATTCAGGATTTCTGGCCATACGTGAGCGTAAAGAGTTTTTACTCCTAATGTGTAAAATTCCTAGAAAAGCCAAAGTTCGAGGATCATAAAAAACCTCTCGAATTATGTACATCCAATTAGGCATTGAGAGGCCTGAATGTGAGAGAATTTCTAATATTTTAATTCATTTTACTCACGAGAGACTGTGTAAGATTCTGTTAGTGAAAGACCCAAATGAAAGTCAATATCTGAAATGAAAATATTTTTTAAAATATTTTTTGACTCCCACCATGCTTATGAGTTATCTCCTCGCGTACAAACTCAGCCATGCTTCGACCTTTTGAATCAATCCTCCTTACTGTTATTTGGAATTAAAGTAATTTTGTTTTAAAATTACCTAATTGGTCAGTTAACCAACCAAAAGAAACAGCATGATATCCACTTTTTGTGCCCGGTTCCCAATTAGGTTTTTGATTTTCAAGTATTTCTGAAATCTTCTTTGGATTAGATAAAGCATCTTTAATAAGAATTGGTGTATCGATAGCTGCCAATCCCGCCTTGTGGTTAAGTATATCTTCTATAGTTACACTCTCCTTTCCATTTTTCGCAAATTCAGGCCAGAATTTGCTAACAGCATCAGAATAAGCTAAAGAATTTCTTTCAACGAGCATATGAACTGCGAGAGCTGCAACAGCCTGTATCAGAAAGTTCAATATTTATTAAATTACAAGAATATGTAATTTTTTTATTTATGTTTACATTCCTTTACACGACTAGAATAATTATTTATTCAATTGCCCTTTTATTTCATTCAACCGAAATACAAATAATATTAGGAAACTAACAAAGGAAAATAGTTTTTAAAATGTGCCTTCGAAGCTGAAAATAAAACAGTTCGCGTATTCTCCTTCCATTTAGCTTTAGAGGATTTATCCGCAAATCCTCCATATAGATCAACAACCAATTGACCTTGCCAGAAGATGGCAACTGAGGCACCTTCTTGTTCCCAACCATCTGAGAAATTTTTCCTATAATAAATTAAAACTAAAAAAATATATTAAAATTCAGTATTTGCCTGAATACTTTTTCTACTTGGGCAAATTTTGGAGAGCAACGGCCAAACACATTCATCGAATTTTTAATAAAATTGGACAAAAGTAATTTATTTTCTCAACATTTTACATTATTAGGGAGGGAAAAGTTAAAAATACTTTTGATTATAGGCCAACCAATTGGGTGATAAACCTGTTTTCCGTCAAATGTGGATTTACTTTCTAAAAATAAATGGAACTGCAGCTAGGTAAAATAGAATTTGCAAACAAAAAATATATTTATTTTTATTGTTTTGAAGGAATAAAATTAATAATGATTAGAATTTTTAAAGAATATTTACATATGTATTAGAAAATAAAGATGAAGATTCTTAAAGCCTGGGCCTGGATTTTGGGTTATTTCGTCGACATGGGCTGGCGAATGGAACAAAAACTCGGGGCAGACCTAACCCTATTAGAACTTAATTTTATAATAGAGCTTTGCAGAAAAGAAAATTAATTTTTAAAGATTATTTCTAAATATTTAATCATTTTAAATATTTATATTTAGAAAAATATGAGCAGATACAGAATTTAATTTGACATAGAGAATCATTAACTAAATTATTAAATCCCCAAACAAGGAAAATATTTAATTTTTATTCTAATTTATACTTCTTCAAAATTATTTTCGGCGTTGTCCTCCTCCCATAATCATTGCCATACGCATGAATATATTTAGAATGTCCATATAGATGGAGAGTTGACTTTTAAATATTTTTAATTTAATAATTTTAAATTAATTTATACCTATTTATCGGATCATATTTACGAACCATTCCATTATCAAAACGGTCATTGCCCATGAATCGACCACCAACTGGATAGACCGACTGCGAACTGGCCATTTTAACCACTCGTTGAGTATCATGTAAAAGGAAAGCCGAAAACAGAATTAATCCTCCATAAACAACAATCGAAGCAAGTCCTTTAAAGAAAAATTTTTTTGATAAAAAACAAAAAAATAACCAGCTCCCAATGCAGTGTTTGGTGGAAAAGCAAATGATCCCAAACAGGCAACAAATACAACACCTAATCCCATAGCCAAAGGTCCAGCCATATTCAGAAATTTCTCAGACGGGGCACACATTGCTGTAACAGAAAGACCTAAAAGTAAATTTAAAATATTTTAAATTAATTTTTAAAATTAAAAACCTCCAACAATAGCAGCTGTGTACCAAGCTGCACGAATTAAGGCAGGACCTCCCAAATAACACAATGGGGCAATTACCGCACCCAAAACAGCACAATGTGTTGCCCAAGCCAACTAAAAAATTATTTAAATAATTTTATTCTTTTTAAATTTACATGTTTTGGCAAAGTATTCGAATAATCAATCTTTTGCACAATCAATCCAGTCGCCACAATTGCAGCTAAAGAGCCTAACCAAACCTAAATATTTATTGAATATAAATTTAAAAAATCAAAAAACAAATAGAGAAGGGCCACTAGTCAACGCCAAAATTGCTGGACTACGTGCCGCTGTAATACCAGCACAAGCAGTAATTGTTAAACTTCCGGCCAAATAAGCGTAGGTTGTATGTAGACGCTCACGAACATAATCAGGCCAAAGACTTTTTAAAAATAAACAAAAATGTATTTTTAAAAAGAAAATTTACACAGAACGGGCCACAGCACTTTCAGCACTCATTGTCAGTCCATAATAACAAAGCATCCCAATACCAAAAGCAGAAGCACTAGCTATTGCATATGTTCCGTAAATGAATGCTTTAAAAGAAGAAAATGTCTTTCAAAGATCGGAAAAATATTTACGTTTTCCAGTAGTTGGACCAAGCAAACGTTCACGAACTGATGGAACAGCTTGTCGAGCAGCGAATGCCTCCTTAAACGTTGCTGTCTGTAAAATAAAAATTGTTAAAAATAAATTTAAAAAACTGACAAATTGGCCAAAAGGAGAAGCAGATCCACCTCTGCGGAAGGCAGAACGTGCATTCTGAAGTGATGACAAAGTCAATTGACGAAGAGATTGAAGATTTTGTGGCTGGATTAGTAAGCGTGAAAGCATTTTATGAGTTTTACTAAATTGAAATAAACATGTAATAAATATTTTTAAAAATAAAATTTTGGAAAGAAAATATTGTGAAAGGAAAAGTGAAGAAATAAGTAAAATAAGTCAACAAAAAGTTAAATTATAGTTTAAGAAGCTCATTCTAGAAAAGTCGTTTGGAGTCGTTTTGGCGCAGCATTAGGGCGCAGAGACGCGGCAGTCGAGATCTCGAAAAATCTCGACTCTCGATAACCGAGATTATCCCGTCTCGGTTCGGTCTCTACTATTTACTATTCTATTTGCAGCCGCGTAAAAAAGTCTTGATTCAAACGTTGTTAATTTAAATTTTGTACTACGTATGTCAAGATTCTTGAACCGATTATTTTTTCCTTCTCCCGATATATACCAGAATCACCACTTTAGAGGATTTGTATAATTTTCTAATAAAAATGTTAATTAAAGCTATTTAGACCTAAAAAAGTTTCTGATTGTATCCCTCATGATTTTCTTTTATACAAACCTTCTAAAAAAGTGTCAGGGATAAAATATACATTTGGATTAAGGAATTAAAAAAAACAAAATATTGTTTATCTTACCAAATATATTTTAGGTTCTGTATTTGGACCAACCTCCCTACTATACATATTTCTTATACATATACAAAAACCTATTCAATCCATAGCTAATTAAATCAGTGCTCTTCACATGAGTAAAAATACCCAGATGCATCGACATAAAATTGGAGATACCCCCCCCCCCCTTTCAACTAAAAAAAATAAGGGATTTGCCCGGAATAATAATAACCAATTAAATTTAATAAACTTTTAACAAAACAATTATTGAAAATATTTTAACGAGATTTTCGATTATTTATTTATCTATTTATTTAAATTAAAAAAACTATATTTAAAAAAATATTTATTTTCTTGTAAAACACAATTTATATTTATCAAAAACTCCATAAATTAACGGATTAACTATCGGGTTAACAACAATTAACCCATTTAAAAAGGGTAAAGTAATTGTTGATATTTGTCTAATTGTTCCGTCTTTTTGTGCCCAAGCATTGCAAATAGCTAGTAAATTATAGGGAGACCAAAAAGTTAAATAAGCTGCCAAAATTAGAGCTGCTTGACGTTTTGCATTCTTTTAAATAAATTAAAATTAAATTTTTAAATTTTGATAGTTCGGGATGATGAGTTTAATTTTAAAAAAATTTTAGATTTGAATGGAGTTTTTCAAAATAATTTTATTTTTATCAAATTTTATTTTCAAAAATTATTTTTATTTATTTTAATCCCTCCTTTTTTACTCAAAATATTTGCAAAAATTGTTTTTTGAATAAATGACGTGATAAAAAACCAAAAATTAAATGTCTATTTATTAAATATTTGGTTGGATGCGCATATTATTTTAAATAAATAAATTTCTCTTGGGAAATTTATTTATTATATCCATTTAGAAAATTAAATAAATAAAGAATAAAAAAATATTTTGACAAAAAAATTGTTAAATAGTTTAAAAAAAATTTTTTTCTTTAAATATTTACTTGTCTAGCTTTAGCAATAGTTAAAGGAGCAATTAATCCAATTCTTGTATTATTATTACTATTAATTGTTTCACATTTAGTTAAAGAATTATTATTATCCCAATCATTTATTTCTTTTTTATTTTCTTTTAAAGAAATTAATTTAATATTTTCTTTTTTATTTAATAAATAATTAGAATTTTCTTTTTGTTGTTGTTGATTATTTAAAAGATTTTTTGTTGTTACTTTAAAATTAAAAATTAATATTTAATTTAAATATTTAAATAATTTACTTATTTTTTCTGGAACAACAGAAAGTGAATTTAAAGTAATTAATATTGCTGTATATGAAGCTGCAATTAATAAAGAAGGAATCCAAAAAAGAAATAATAAATGTGCCATATTATAAAAACGTTCCCAAGCAACAACTTGAGAAAATTTTTGAAATATTTTTAATTTCCCTTCAATATCAGATTCATTTAATGTCCCCATTTTTAAATCTAATTCATAACCGATAATTGTCCAAATTGGTGTACATTGTCTTTAAATAATATTAATTTTATTTCCTTTAAAACAAAAGAATCGAGGATTTTTCGGTTCCGGATATAGTAAAGCAGCTTGGCTATAGCTATTTATCTCCTTCAACTAGTGCAAAAAGGTATTCGTCAACTGGGAATGAAGCATCTTTAGTAGACCGGACTGATGTTTTATCTATTACACCACGCCGCCTACTGCACAGTTTTAGCAAATAAATAGCTATATGTATGCTTTACAATATTTAATGATTTTTCAGAAAAACTGACAGCCCTTATTTAAATTTCTGTGTAATTTAAAAAAAAACTTACTTAAAATTTTTAAGTTCCAAAGGTTCAAAAACTCTAAAAATAAAAAATTGTGGAATACTAAGTAAAGTAGCCCAAGTCCAAGCAAAAATTAACATTTTTTTAATTCTTTTTTGTGCAACATTAGAAGCAATTGGGGAATTTAAATTTCTTGTTCCAAAAAATCTGTCAATAGCAAAACAGGCAACAATAAAAGAATTTAAATAAAAAGAAAATGTGTGGAAGAATTTAATAATTCTACACAAAAAATCTCCAAAATGCCATTGAAAGGTAATCATCCAAATAATTTGTGAAAGTGTGTAGACAAACATTGTAATTAAATCAGCAATATTTAAATTTAATTTGAGCAAAAGAAGTTGGGAACCAAATTGTTGTTGTTGACGGGAAGGGCGTCTAATTTGTGAAATAAGACGGCGAAATGAAAATAAATTTAAAGGGCCGCCAATACAAAGGCACAATGAATACATGAGAATTTCAACCTTTTTTTTGAAAAATAAATAATAATTAATTATTTTTTAATTTAAAATTAAAATCGGGATTCTCTTTAATTAAAATGACATCTCTTGGATAGAAAAAAAGAAGGGAGGTCTTTTTAGAACCCGACTTTAAATTTTGTTTTAAAAAATTCAAAAAAAAAAAACAATTTCGGCAGTTGAGCGTTGAATAACATGTTGGGATGGTGGATTATCTAAATTATTATTAGATGGAGGTGTTGGCAAGAATGGAGAAGGAGAGGAAGAAGAAATAAATAAGGAAGAATAATTAGTTGAATTTATTAATATATTATTTGGTGACATTTTTTAAATAAAATTATTTAATTAATTAATTAACCTTTTAAAAAAATAAAAAGTTTTGGAAATTTTGTTTAAAATATTCTACATACAATTTAAGGCTAAAATTAATTTTTATTTATTAATATATATTTTTTCTTTTTTCCAACAACGGACAAAACTAATATTAATTAGAAAAGTAAAACGGTGGAAAGTTAATATATTAAATTTATTCAAAAAAGTAGTTTAATCGTTAATGAAAGTATTAATCTTTGTCTAATTGGAAAGTTCTTCTCTTTTCTTTTTTATTATATGTAAAATATTGTGTGTTCTAAACAAAAGAAAATATTCTCGACAAATCCCATTTAGCAGGAAAAACGGAAATTAGAAATTATAATTAATTAAAAAAAAAAGATTTTTTAATTAAAAAAACGTGGAAGAAATTCATTTAAATTAAATAAAAAAATATTTGTAAAATAAAGGGAAAGGGGGGAAGCGTGAGAGAAATAAAAAGAGAAGAAGAAGCCTTTTTTGAAAAAAATTTTTTTAAACTAAAATAAATAATGGAGAATGAGAGTAAAAGAGAGTGGAAATTGATTAAATAAAAATTTTTAAAAATTATTTTTTGGAGAATAAAAAAAAATATTTATTTATTTAAATAATCAATTATTTAAAAAAATTTATTTTTTTGTAAAAACAAATGACACTTTTTTTTAACATTTTTCTTTTAAAAAAATGCAAAATGTTTAAACTTTTCTTTTCAAATCTTTTTTTTTTAAATTATTAGTAAAAAGATATTTTTAAAGAATAAAAGAAATTCGAAACTCTTTTTTTCTTTTAAAAAATAATAGTTAATTTAAAAGTCAAAAAAATGTGTTAACAATAAATAAATAAATATTTATTTTTTGTACTTTTATCTATTTTTTAGACCGGAAATGGATAAACACAAAATTTTAAATTAAAAGATTTTTTTTTAAATTCAAATTATTTTTCTTAAAATAAGGAAATCTTGACTAAACTTTTTAATTATTTAAAAATAATCCAGATTTGATTATTATTATATGAACATTCAAAAAATTCAAGAAGAACTAACTACATAGTACGTAAACACAAAAGAAACTTCGAAAATAACATTCAATTACTTCAATTAAAATTTTCTTTTAAGTTTTTGTCTTAAAACTCGTAAAATTTTACTACAAAATATAGCTAGTTAAAAAATTTTTTGTTAAATTTTATGGAATTTCTCAATTAATTTTTTTTATTTTTAAATTAATTGATAGGAAATTATTTGGAAAAATAAATTTTAATTTTTTTCTGTTATAATATACTTAGAATAAGCATAAAAGTTTAGCCTTTTTATATTATGAGCTAAAAATATATGTAAGAAGTGGTCCTCAAAACCCATTAATTATTATTTCTTTTCTTTTTATAATCAAACAAAAGACTAAAAAAGGAAGAAACTAAAATAAGAAAAAAAACTTTTTCATAATTTTAAATACAAAAAATGTCAAAAAAATAAAAACTAAAATTATTTTTTTAAATACATCCAACTGACAGGAAGAGGAATTTTTATGATAAAATGAAAGACAAATGGAAGAAAAACTTAACGAGGCTATTTAAGTTTATGAAAAATATTAGGGGTGAATGCTTTATTTATAAGAAGATTTGCGCAGATTTCCTTTAAAATTTTATTTAAAAATAATCTTTTAGTTGACATTTTTAAATGTCATTTTAATAATTTATATATGTAAGAAATAACAGAAAAATATTATTAAAATACTTATTTTTATGTTGTCACAATTATATAAGTACATATTTTCTTTAATCTTTACTTTTCCATTAAAATAAAAGATTTACACCTCTTTTAAATAAATTTAAAAATAAACAGATAAAAGAAATCGTCAAATAAAACTAATCCCTAAAAGATTCATTTTTGTCAAGGAAAAATCAAACATTCTTTGGCTCTATCTTAGGACATGCGTCCCATGAACATTTATGCGTCCCATTAAAGTTTATGCGTCCCATGAACTTTTATGCGTCCCTTCAAAGTATATGCGTCCCAAAATTAATATAAGCGAAAACAATTGTAAAAACATTTTTTAATTTTATTAATGACAATTAAATATTTTATTATATAACGGAGTCGGTCGGCCTTCGGCCGCCCCGCTAGCAAATTCAAAACAAATCAAAAAACCTAACTCAAAATCAACTTATGATAACCTCAAAAGTTGACTCTGATTCAAGACGCTCAAAAATCGCTACTTTGTAATCATTATCACAACAAAACGATTATTAAAACATTGACCAGCATTAAAACATTACCAGATTACCAAAACATTTAACAAAACATTATCAAAATAATAACTGATAGCCTTCGGCCGACCACCTCGCTAACCCCAAATTCACAACACAATTCCCCCTGTTTCACAAATCCGTGAGTTTCAATATTCCACCCGCTTCAAAAACTCGTTGTCCCTTGAGCAAGGAAGCATATAATAAAGTATTTGATTTTCATTAATACATTTAAAAAATGTTGTTTTGCGCTTATATTATTTTGGGACGCATATACAATTTTTGGGACGTATATACTTTCATGGGACGCATATACTATTTTTGGGACGCATAAACTTTCATGGGACGCATAAAAGTTTATGGGACGCATAAATGTTCATGGGACGCATGTCCTAAGATAGAGCCCATTCTTCTCTTGCCATTAAGAAAAGTCAGTAATTCTAATCAAAACAAGAACAAAATATTTTAATTTTTCTAAAAGAATTTAATTGACGAAAACAATATTTAAAAAAACATAAAATTAAAACTAAAGACCGGACTGGGGATCAATGTCTCAGAAAAATAATCTCGATAACAGATATCGTCTCGGTCCGGTCTCTAATTAAAACACAATTTGCGCTTAAAGTCAAACCGAAAAAAAGTCAAATAATAAATGATTCTTTAAAATTATATAATAATATACACATCAATTAGAGATAGTCTCAACAGAAATGAGAGAAATGCTAAGAGAAGCATTTTTTAGAATAAATTTTCTTTTAATGAGGAAAACCCAAATAAATAAAATATCTTTTTTCTTTTGTTTACAATTCTTGGTTGAGTGCCTCTGGCGTAATTGTTGTCTCTTCTTTCGTTTGACTCGTTTCTCCAATTTTCTCTTTGCCCAATGAGGAAGAAGGGCATTCATTAGCACAACCAGAACCATTAGAACTACTTTCTCCATTTGTTGAGGTCCCATTATCAGTTGTAGGAATTGGATTAACTCCAGTAGTAGAAAATGCGGTTAAATACTGTTGAAATTGCAACATTGCTGCATCCAAAAGAACTTGGATATTTCTTAAAGTTTGTATTCGAGCTTCAACTGCTCTTCTCTCTGTACCCTCCATTGCAGCAAGTTCAACATCGTTTAAACCAGAAAGCTAACAAAAATAAAATGAGAATAAATATATAATAAATTTACAGTCGGAGGTTGCGGGAATGGCTGCAAAGGTGGCAAAAATGGGAAAGGGGGCATCTGAAGAAAAATATTGTTAGTGATTAAAGAATAAATATAAATCCTCACCATAAAAGGATTGAAGAAAGGAGGAGTTGGTTGAGATTGTTGGTTATTTTGCTGTGAAGAAGTACCAGATGAATGAGGTAATTGTTGAGAGTTGGCATCGTTTTGTTGTGAAATGGAAGCAGAAGACGAGGAAGGTCCATTTGAAGTTCCTGGAACAGACCTTCCACCAGCAGCTCCATTTCCTTGTGTTTCCGCTTGCTGTTGAACTGGTTGTTGTTGCTGGTGCTAAAAATTTTTAAAGAGAATAAAGTGTGATGCATCTTTACCTGTTGTTGCTGCATGGGAGGAAACATTTGAGGAGGAAATATTGGAAACCCAAAAGGCATGAATGGTGGCATCTGCTGATGTTGAACGAAAGGTGGTGGATGTTGCTGTGGTCTTTGCTGCTGTGGCCCCCCAAACTGAAATTGGAAGTGAAAAGGTGCCTGAAACATATTTGCTGGTATTCCATTCATAACTCCAGGCTGTTGCTGAGGTTGTTGACCAGGCAAAAGGCCATTAGACCGTCGAGTAGCTGCTAAAAGGAAAAAAATTCAAATTAATATTTACTAGATTACCTAAGACATCAGTTCTGCAAGTTGGACAAGTCTGTTGACGCTGAAACCAAGAACGAAGACAATTTGGATGGAAAATATGATTGCAAGGTAACTTTTTAACTCCACTTTCTACAGTCATCTCTTCACGGCAGATTATACATGTATTGTCGTCTAAAAATTTAATAAAGTTTTAATCATTTTAAAAACTAATTAAGAATTTTCTCATTTACTTTCAGCAAGATCTTGTGCTGTAGCCAATGGGAAAAGATTATTCATTGCATTAATTGCACGTCGGGAGAGAATTACGTCATTAACTGCTTTGCGGAATGATTTGACTGTCAAATAGAATGGACGGATAGCAAATAATGGAAAAGTGTGGATCTAAATATTTCGAGAAAAAAACAACATTACTTAAAAATTAAAATACTTTCATCATCACAACCGCAAAAGCCAAATAAAGGACACAACGAAGGAAACCTAAAATTTAAAAACAATTTAAAAAAAATTAATTTATACAACAAACTTGTAAATAATTCTACATATAACATATAAACTGCCTTCATTTCCCAAGGATGTGGCGAACGCAAATCATGTAAATGAAGTAAATAATTGATAGTTATATGTGCAACCATTGTAAGCAAAACAGCATATTCAAATCCAAAAACAATTTGTGCACTAGCCCCGCGCATTAATGTTGTGAAGAAAGCGTGAGAAATAAAGTAAGAGTCAATGGCGCCAAGAAGAGAAATTATTCCGAGAATACGAGCGTGAAACAGAAGAGTTATAATTGGACTTCTTTCCTATATGTATTTGTTTAAGTAATATGTGCCTCCTCTAAATTTAAAATCAAACCATATAATCAACACGATCCTCAGAAAGCCAATGAAAAGCTTTAACAAAGAATAACACAACAAACTGGACAACAAACTTTGGCGAGAAGTCATCACGAAAAACAGCTAAATTATTAGATATAATTAACAAAAAATATGGACTAACTAAAAGCCAGACAAGTCTCCATAATTGCGTGCCAAACCCGTTCTTGAGCACGTTCTACTTCAGCAGGCCTCAACTGACCAAAGAAAATCCAACGAACAACAGAGAAAATTAAATAACTAAAAACGGCCGCTTGAAAGTAAAGGACCTTAAGAAAAAATTAAAAAAAAACTTTAAAAATATAAATAACCGTCATTGAAGTTGAACTTTTTGTAAGATAAACAACTGATGGATAAAATTGTTTTTTGAGGAAAAAAGCATTCATAACAGCCAAAACTGTCGAAATGAAACTTCCGATAACCACGAACGAAGCCGTAACTCGGACCATTTTTAAGTCTATTCACACACCTCTTATCCTAAAAATAAAATATTTTTAATCAGAAATATTTTTAAAATAGCATACCTTTTAAAAAATTTTTGAAATTGATTCTGAGTAACTAAAAAAGTGTTTAAATCAAAAAATGAAAAGATAATTTAATTGTGATTAACAATTAATGATGAAAAATATAATTTTCTGCTAGACAATTTTATCAAGATGTGTTTGAATATATATCACAGGGAGGTTAGAAATATGCCCACCAAGGGTCAAATTAATCTTTATAAGTGATTCTCCCATTCCCTCATGTGTAAGTAATATATACTATATAAAGGTGACGACAGATACCTAATGTTTTTAGAAATGGAATTTAGAGGATTTGAGGTATCTGGGCAAAAAATAATAGCAAGAAAAAGGAAACAATCTAGTCAAAATCTGTCGACACCCAGTTAAAGATTTAAAAAACTCGAAAAATAAAGGATATATAATTATTATTATACAATGTTTCGCTCTATATTCAGACAAGAGAGAATAGAATTTCAAAGATGTATGTATTTATAATAGAGAGAAAAGCCCCCCAGAAGAGTCAATACTCACTTAATATTAAACTGAACCCTTAAATGTATTATGTCATGAAAATCACAAAGAAAATAAAAAATGCCATCAAAACACCGAAAACTTTTAAAATAAGCCATCGGTTACGGGAAATATTATTGAAATATTTGAGCAATTCATAATGGGCAGCTTCAACATTTAGAGCAGTATCTTCAACATTAGAGTCAATTCTAAGAAAAAAAGAATTTTAATTAAGAAAATATTTCTAATCAAAAAACCGAGTAATCATTTCGCCTTGTTCAGAGACGAGAGAAGCTAATTGTCGAAATATTGTGCCCAATTCAGCAATACTACTTTCTATACCCTCCATTGCACTATAACGAGAACGATGATAGGTATCAGTCTCATCAATAAGTGCAACCTTTGGTTTCAATAAATTAAAAAATATTTTTAGGAAAAAAACTTGGTCTTGAATTCGATGTTGTTCCAATCGATCCATATCCAATGTAAAAGAAGAACTCCCACTTGAAGCTGCCATATCATCGTAAAGAAGAAGAGAGCCCACTGAAAAATCAAAATAAAAAAAAAATAAAATATTAGTTACTATTTCCATTGCTTGCAGATGGAGGTAAATTTGAAGGAATTGCTGCCGATTGACTGAATTTTTCGCGTCTGGCTCTTTTTAATTTTAAATTCTGAAAAGCCACAAATTTTAATTAATTTTATTTCAAAAAATAAACCTCTGTTCTAATTTCCAAAACATTTTTAAAAGTTTTACTAATAGAAGCAAGCTTTGATTGTAAACCAACAACAACAAGTTTCGAATGGTTCTGGCCCTGCTGTTCATTTTTTGATGAATTATTTTTAGCCCCGGATCGCTGAAGTGCAACTTGTTGTAAATTAGCAATTTGTTTATTTAAACCAGTTATATCCTCAAATTTATTTATTATTTATATAAAATTAATTTAGAAATAAACTTGTTTTATAGTCTGTGAAAGCTCTTCAATTTCACTTGCCCGATCATCAAAAAGTGATTTATTTTTGGCTAGTTGAGATAACTTCTCCATTTTTGCACAAGTCATGCTCAAGTCCCTGCCAATCCTCCTACAAATAAATTATAAATAAATTAAATTTTAAAAAGTTACTTGGCCAATTGATTAAAATGTATAGAAGATTGGAGCATTTTCTCGCGTTCTCCTTTAGCTTCCAAAATATTCCCATTAGGTTGATGTCGAAACTGAAAATAATAAAACTCAGAAAGAATTTTCACATGATTTTAAAATTACCTGACAAGACTTTGCCACCGTTCTAAATTCAACTGTTCGATCATGGAATGGCATATCGATAGGCAAATTTGAAATATCCTGTTTTAATTTTTAAAAATAAAAAAAAATAATTTGTTTTACCTCAGAAGAATCTTTGTATTCAGAAGTGTTATTAAATGGAGATATTCGCTTCTCTGTTGAAAAATCGTTAGTTATTTGTCCAGCAAATGATTGAATGGAAGACTAAAACTAATAAAATTAAAAATAAATTATAAACCTGAGCCGCGTTCCAAATATTAGAAGCTGGAGTAATTAATGAAGAAAAATTTCCGAATTGTTGAAAAGAATAATAATTTAAGTCTCCTCCACTTCCTTCTGAAAGATTGTTTTGTTCTGTTGTTTGAGTATTTGTCTTAGTTTCGTAATTGTTATGATGTCTTCTTCGAGCCTCTGAATTTGTGTTATAAACAGGCAATTCAGACATTCATTCAAAACTAAAAAAGAATTTTTATTAAAATAAGAAAAAAAATCTATGAAAGATTTTAGCTAAAAATAATGAAGAGTTTTAAATGAGTGAGAGAAAAACAAAAAGTTGAACACGTAGATTTACAAAATGCCAAAATTTAAAAGAAAAATCTTTAAAAATATTTTACACAAAAATAAAAGATTTTTTAAAGTTTTTGTTGTTTTTCACATTCATCTTGTTGTGATAATAATTAAAAATAATTCCGCTTATTAAGAGCTTTCGAGTGATATAAGATTTATTCAGATTGGATAAAAGTTTAAAAAGTTATAGCAATTAAAGCTGGTTGGTTGTTGGCGTTTAATTAGCACGTTCTGTGACGAAAGATTTATACGTTGAATTTAGACGTTTAACTTTTGTTTTTTTGTATGAATTTTAAACTGTTTTCGGGTTCTTATTTTTTTATTTTTAAATTCTTTAAAGTATTTTGCATTTTTAGGAATTGTATATATTTTTTAACAAAAATTAATAATTATTTTTCAAATAATGTGGAGAGATTGGCCATTTATTTTTAGTTTTTTCCATTTTACTTTTCTCACAACATTATCATTTGCTCATCAATTGCCACAACAACATGTTGAACAACAAGAGGCTAAATTTGGTGGAGAGCAAGTTAAAGATGAAGAGTTGGGCAAAACAATTTTTCGAGAAAAGTCAAAATAATTAATTTAGACATATCAAAGAACATTTGGAAGGGAAAGTTGATCCAACGGCGCACATGACCCCGGAGCAACTTCAATTTCATTATTTCAATATGCATGATCTGGATAAAAATGGAAAATTGGATGGAATTGAATTAATTAAAGCAATTTCTCATTATCACGAAGGTTAAGCTTAAATATAAATTTTTTTTGAAAAAAGTTTTTAGAAAATTCTGCGCAGCAAAATGCCCCACCTGTACCCGATGAAAGTCAACTTGAGACTATGATTGACACTATAATCAAAGATGATGATTTTGATGGGGATGGGTATATTGATTATGGGGAATTTTTGAGGGCCCAGAAAGTGCGAGAAGAACAAGCGAGAGCCGCCAATCCTCCACAACAACAATAATGTATAATTTTTCTTTTAAATATTTTCATGTGATAATGTGTTTATTTTGGAAGCTACTTATTAACTTTCATTTTATACTTAAAATTGTTTAATTATACTTATTGTTAATTTTATTTGTTGTGATTTTGTCTAAAATGGGAATTTCTTTATATAATTATTTTAATTACTTAATCATTCCTTTAAAATTTTTGTTGGGCATATTTTGTAATTAAAAATATTTTTACATTTTTCTTTCTTTTTTCATCAATTAACTACTTAATTCTTAATAATTATATTGTTAATTTGTTGTTTTTTATGTTTAAATTTATTTAAAGATTAAATTATTTTTGAAGTATTACTTTTCGCATTATGCGCTTTAAAGTCCTTTTCTCCATTTTTGTTGTTTAAATCACTCGGCAGTCCTATCTAATCAATATGCCAACTGGCAAGACTGCCCGATCGATTGCCCCAAATTTTGCCTTTCTTGTTAAAGAATCAGTCTAAAAATATTTAGGATGAGACTTTTACTTTTCTTTATTTTGTTAGCAATTTATGAATTATTTGAAGGTAAATTTTAAAGAATATAATTAAAAAATATATTCTTTTAGCCTCGGATTTTGCTGGCAAAGATGATGTTTACAATGAAGAGTTAAGTGTTTTATAAATTATTTTAATTTTGAACTTTTAGTCATTTAAAAATGCATTTAGAAGACCAAGTGGAAGTAGGGGAGAAGAAAATGACGCAGGATCAAGAACGATATCATTATTTTACTATGGCAGATTCGAACGGAGTTTTTAATTTATTCAATTTTTTAATAAAAAAATCTTTTTAGGATGGTTTCATTGATGGAGTTGAAGTTTTTAAGGTTTTTTATAATAACTTTAAAAATAAAAAAAAATTTTAAAAGGCCATTCACCACGACCATGAAAATGGAGAACATCTCGCTTCACAAAGTGATAACGAAATTGAAGAAAAGGTTGATGGTGTATTGAAATCTTTTGATTTAGATGGTAATTCTGTGATTGATTATTCAGAATATATAAAAGGAATAGAAAGGGAAGAATAATATAAAATATCTCCTCTAATAGAGTAGCCCCTAAGTTGAATGCCCCTCCTAATAAAACGGAGAATAGAATGCCCGGGACACTCAATTAGAGGGAATTTGATAATTTATTATACAATTTTTGAGTTCCTATATCCACTTTGCTTTTATTATTTTATGCCTTTGTTTGAACAGTTGCTAATAGGATACGTCGATTCATTGACACTAGTAAAATTTATAAATTATTAATTCAATAACCGAACCGAAGTTTCCGGATATCCAAAACCAAACCCACCGTCCAAGCTTTTGCTTACCAGTCGTTAACTTTTTTGTATTTACTAGTATCCTATTTGTATGTTTTTAAATATGTTAAAATTAATGTTATATACTCTATTAATTCTGTTGTTGTTTTGTCATTTTATTGAAGGTAATATAAAATATTTTTTGAATCTTAAAATGGAAAATCATTCTTTAGCTGCATTGGTCAAATTTGGCGAAAAATCAGAAGTTTATGATGAGAGGTATTTTTGACCAGATTGTGATAAAATTAAGCACTCCCATTAATATATTTCTTTTCGTAAGATTAAAAGTTTGTTTTTAAGTCATTTAAAACTTCATGTAGAAGAAGAAATTGGTGAGAATAAAAAGATGAATGAGGAAGATGAGCGGTTTCACTATTTTGACATACACGATTTAAATAAAGTTAGTTTTTATTATAAAAATTTCAGATTTTTTGTAGGATAGCCACATTGACGGAATTGAACTTTGGAAGGTTTAAAATAAAAGGAATAAGGAAATATAATTAACTCAAAAAGTTTTAGGCCGTCCATCACAATCACAAAGATGAATTGGAGGAGGTTAGACCTGAGGATGAAATTGAGAAATTAGTGGATGAGGCTTTTAAAGAAATTGATTTAGACGGAGATGGATTGATAAGTTATCCAGAATATCTTAAAAAATTGGGTTAAAATCTTTAATCAGATATGTTAGATAAATGTTATTTTGAGTTCGGATATATTTTAATATATGTAAGTAGTAAAGTATTCTAAAGAATTGGTAATTTTGAACTTTGTGACTTATAAAATTTTTCCCTTCTTCAAAAATCGCATATCTTCCTTGATGTTTTAATATATATATAAAATGTTCAAGAGATTGCCAGGCATGGTAATGGAGTGAAATGAAAATCTGACTATTAAGATATTTTTACCGAAAGAATAAAATAGGAGTCACAAAATTCAAAATTACCAAAGAATTTTAAGTGATTAGTTAAATAATTTCTTCAAAACTAGAAAATGTTGTAAATTCTTTAAGTGCACTTTCACTAAGAGGAGCATTTCCTGGACGTAAAGCTAAACGAACTTGAAGACCAGCCGCTTTTGCCGCGAAGGCTTCTTTAAATGTTTAGGAAAATTAAAGATTAATATTTTTTAAAAAACCTTTTTCAATGTCAGTAAGGAAAAGTATTTTATTTGGAGCAATTCCAATCTGTTCCACAATGCGCTGATAACTTTCCTTCTCGAATTTAGGACCAATAGTTGTGTCAAAATGAGATGATATGAACTTTAAAGAGAGGGACGAATATTTATAAAAAGCAAAAAAAACCTTTTCTAAATTTCCAAATTCGGTGTGTGAATAAAGTAATTTTTGGGCCTTAATTGAGCCAGAAGAGAAAATATGTATATTAATTCTAGCTTCATTTAGGCGTTCAAATGCAATAGGCACATCAGGATAAACACTAATTTTAATTATAACAACTTAATTAATTAAAACAAACTGTGCTTTAATTAATCCATTTTTGTAGCCATCTTCCCAAATAAGTCCTTGCAAATTTTTTAAAGCTGTATACTAAATAATTTAAAAATAGTTTTATTAAATGTAACAATTACCAACCTTTTTATCCTGTTTTATCCATAATAAAACATTGGAAGTTAATTTGGAAATTTGAATTTCAAATTTATCGTTTGATTGAATTAATAAAACTTCGGAGCTTTCCTCTGCATGTTCATTTGATGTTTTTATTAAATCATCAAGTACCTTTTGATGTTCTTGTTCACGATTTGCAACTACAAGTTTTTGAATAAAATTCCCAGCATTTTCAAAAGAAAATGGAAAAAGAACATTCTAAAGAAAATTCAAAATTTTACACAAATATTATTTTTATTTACCTTTACAAAGTCAATGGAAGTAGTAGTTCCTTCAACATCTGTCAATATTGCTTTAAAAGATGGATTATTCATTAAATTGCTTTATAGTAATTGACAGATTTAGAAATTAATGGAGTATAGACAAAGAGAAATTAAAAGAATGAATATAGATTATTAGAGATATTAAAGATATAATAGTAAAATTTACTTGTGTATAGCAAAAACACGGCGGGTCCACCCTGTTGACGCACGCGCGAAAACTACTTAGCTTTCTATTTCTTTTTTCTTTCGTTCTCTAACTGTCTCTCTTTCTTTTATGCACTCTTTTTTTGCGACTGCGAGGACAAATTTTAATGAAACTTTAAAATCCAATATCTCGAAAACTTTTCCTATTTTTAAAAATCTGTTGCGAACAATTTATAGATAATTGTTTAGAGATTTTATAAAAAAATTTTCGTAAATTTTTATATGTTCAAAAAAAAGTTAATATGGCCGAAGTTTTAAAAAATTTTCGAAAATTATTTTTGGATCTGATTCGAAAGAGCTTCGAAAACTGAGTCGAACAATGTGGGGATCAAATCGATCCGACATCCTTGGACCGAGATATAGGCTTTTGAAAATTGAGAAAGAGAAGGGGGGACCAAGCTTGAAAAATTCGATTTTTCAAATTATATGTCATTCGAAAGAGCTCGTTGAGATAAGTTGAATGGCACCAAAATCACGGCTCAATCGAAATCATGAGCCGAGATACAGACTCCTAAAAATCGAAAAAATCGTATTTTGAAGAGCTCATAACTTCGTTAAAAATTCATTTTGGCTTTTCAAACTTTGTAGGATTGTTTAACTATTATAGGCCTATAAAAATGCAAAATTTGAAAAAATTCGGTCGGGAGGATCAAAAGATATAAAATTTAATTAATCCCTCTAGTAAATGAGAGAAAATGTCCTTCTGACCATTTCTCTTGTTTCCAATTAAGTCAGACGCACGAGAGATGCAATAAAAAGAGGAGAGTAAATAGACATTTATTTAAATTTTGGCGTTATGTTTAGGGAAAAGAGTTAGCTAGTTTTCGCGCGTGCGTCAACAGGGTGGACCCGCCGTGCAAAAACATGTGACAAAAAATAATTAAAAGATTTTGACAAGATTGACAATATGAGAATTTAACTTAACGAAATTCCATGCAAGATTAATTTCATTTCACAAAAAAACATTTTCACTTCCATTCATGCGACAACAATGGATTTGATACTTTGTGACAATTGCACTATTCGCGCAGAGGAAAAATGCATTCGCGTATAGGAGTGGCGTGAGAGAATTTTACGGGATTCTTGAAAATTTTCATACAGCAAATACATTTTTATAATTTTTACAAAATCAAAATTTTTGAGTTTTTAGGGAATTTTGAGTTAATCACAACTTTTTATATTAGAAAGCCCATTTGTTTAATTATTTTTAGAACAATTTAATAATGATTTATGCAAAAATCCTTAAAAGTGCTGTTAATCAAGCACTCCCTCGACGTTTAAACAAAATTGGCTCAGTTCATCCTTTTTATTTTCCAATCAACAATATTGTTACCTCAAAAATGAATAACAGTACAACTACTCAATCTGCCGCAATGGGACCTCATGCTCTTCAATTTAAAATTGAACGTTATCTTGCTGCAGGAATGTTTCCTTTACTTCCCGCGGCATATTTCATTCATGGAACTACAATGGATTTGGTACTTTCGGCTGCTATTGTTATGCATTCTCATTGGTAATAAATCTTTTAAAGATCACTTTAAATTTAATTTTTCAGGGGACTTATGGCTGTTGTTCAGGTTTTTCTTTAAATTTCATAAAATTGAAAAGAAAAACAAAATTTTAAGGATTATGCACGTCCAATAGTCGTTGGAGAACGTTTGGCAAAAATCTCTCCTGCACTTGTTTATATAACTTCGACAATTTTACTTGTTGGACTGCTTCATTATAATTTGTTTGATATTGGCTTAACCAAGTCATTTGAGAGAGTTTTTAGTTTGTGAAAATGAAAAATAGAAGATATGACAGTTTATTCCAATTATATTCTGGATTTGTAAAATCGTGTGCACAATAAAATTATAGATTTTATAATTTTGGGTATCGACATACTTAAAACTGAGACTAGGGAATATAGAAATAAAGGGCCGCTAATTATTCGTGAGATTCCTTCAAAAAAAGAAATCCTCGACTATCAAATTTAAAAATCTCTTATAAATTCATTATTTCTTATTCTTTGTAATTCACAATTCAATCCATCTTTTATTTTTATTAAATCATTAAATTCTGCCACATCAAAACTAAAAAAACTTTCTTTTAAAATCTTCATTTTATTTTTACCTGTATTTTCGTGCTCGCCTATAAAAATCTTTATTGAAAATCCGTATATTAGCCGACGAATATTCAAAATTCTTTAAAAAAATAACAAAAAAATTATTTTTAATTTTCACAATTTAAACCTGTTTAGTAACCAAATAATAGGCAAGTGCAATTACAACACTCGAAAAAGTTGAAAAATAAGTAATTGGCTCCATAATATCCCAACTATATTCCCACCAAGTTAGCCTTGCAAAAACCCCAACTTGAAAACAAATAGCAGAGAAACCTGACCAAAAAATTCGTTTTGCATGTTTTTCACATTCTTTTTCGATATTCTTCCTTATCTAAAAAATATTTTTCAAAAATTTTTTAAAAATATTTTACAATTAAAAGTGGCCTCAATTTTCTTTCAACATTTTCTAAATTATTTAAAAGAATACTTTCTTTTTTGATTTTATATTCTTCTACATCAAATACCGTGTAGAGAGTGGAAATCTTTTTTTAAAAAATTTTAAATAAATTTATTCGAACAGAAAAAAACCTTTGATTTTATGTCATTAAATGATTCAGCTTTATCTAAACTAGAAATATAAAAAGAAGTATCCACATCAAATTTGTAAAAAGAATCATTAATTCGAAGATATAATGTTGGAAATGTAAGTAAATGATGAATACGTGTACATTTTGATATTCTTAAACCTTCACAAGTATAAAAAGCGATAACTTCAATTCCGCTATCCTCATTCGATAATGACTCTGATAATGAACCAACTGTGTCCCCAAAAGGCCTCAAAATAAAATGACCTAAAAAAATAAAAGAATCTCAACAATTTATTCTTTAAAATTCTTACAATTTTCTTTACGTGAAGGCAAAGGAATATCAATAAAAGGCAATCCATTTTTTAAGTAAACTTGCCCTCCATAAGAAGCTTTTTGTATTTGGTCGATTAATTTACATGTTGAATCAGTTGAAAATGCAGAGAAAGACAATATATTGAAATTCTGAATTGAAAAAAAATATTTTTTTTAATTAAAAAAATTTTACCAAAGAATATTTAAATTGCCTAGAATTAATAATTAATTGAAAAAATTTTGTTGATATCGACATTAATTAATGAAATGAAGTGTAAGGGCAAAATGTTGATCATTTACATACTTTAGAATTTCTCAAAAAAAATTATTTTTTTACAATTAGCAAATGTGAAAAATTTTATTTTGACCATTTTGATCCTTTTTAAGAAAAAGTCCGAAATTAATGACACTAGAGTCACAGGCTTATTTTTTTCAGTAGGGGACTGGCCGTTCTAAGGTTAAAAGATGCAATTCATTCATAAGTGAGAGAATTGACCTTTTTCCTTCGCTCTAGTCCTTAGGCCCTATTTTATGCCGCAACCGTAGTATGGCAGTCCGATTGACAGACGACTGCAATTTTCATAAAGCCATTTTTAATCAATTTTTAACTAAACTTGCAATTAAGGTAAAATATGTCTGATTACAAAAAATCAAAAACATCTCGAAGGTCTTCTAGAGAAAAATATGATGATCGCAGTATTTCTTCACGTAAAATATAAAATTTGATTTTTAAACTTGTTAATCTTTTTTAGGGAAGTCTAATCGGCGAGAAGAACGAGTAAAAAGTCCAAAAATTTTTGAAAGAAGACGAAGTAGAGACAAATCTGTTATTTCAACATCGTCAAGTGAGGGTTCTGAATTCGAAAAATTGCTTAACAAAAAACGAAAGGAAACGATTCAAAAAGAAAAAGAGGAAAAGCTTAGAATGAAAGAACTTGAAACACCTGATGAAAAAAGGGCGAGACGAATTGCAAAAAAATTACAAAAAGTATTATTAAAAATTTAAATTATTTTTTTATAAATTTTTAGGAGGAGCGAAGGAGAGCAGAAGCTTTGAAGGCTTTTCCTGAAGGAATTCCTTACACAGACTTGAATAACCCATTTAATGATACCAGCCTTTCTGAAACATTTGTTTGGAAGAAAAAATGGGAAACAGAAGGGATGAGTTCTGTATCAAAGAAAAAAGTTGAAAAAATGTGAGAAATTATTTGTTTAAAATTTATTTAAAAAATAATTTTAGAAATCGTGAAACAATTGCAAAAAATTTGGCTGAAATGGAACAATTAAAAAAGAATCGGGAGGCTAGGGATGCAGCTAAAGAAGACATGGAAATGATCAATCGCGATCAGGAAAGGCGCCTTTGTGACTGGAACAGAACAGAAGATGCATTTCATATGAAGCAAGCTAGGCTACGTTCATCAATTCGAATTAAGGAGGGAAGGGCAAAGCCAATAGATTTATTAGCTCGTTATATTTCTTATTTTGATGAAACAACTGAAGACGATTTTCAGTTAGATAATCCTTTGAGTTATATACCAAAAAATTCAATTGACGATTTGGAGGATCTTATTGCTGATATTAATGTAAATTTTTAATTTTTTTTTTGCTTTAATTTTAATTTTACATATTCTTCAGGTTTACCGTATGATTGATGGCAAAAAGAATTCTGAATTTTGGGATGATATTGAAACAATTTCTAAAAGTATTTCAAAAAAGCTTGTTGAAAATCGACGCCGTTCATCTGATAGTGGAACTGTACATTCTTCTGTTCAGGAAGAAGTTCTTAAAATTTTTAAAGGAAAATCTTATTTTGATTTGCAACATTTACAAGATCAAATAAAGGCTAAAATTAAAAATACTAGTAAAGGAACAGATGTCAGTTATTGGGAAGCGTTACTTGACCAACTTGGCCCGTATATGGCTAAACAACGTTTAGGAGAGAATTATGCTCATATTCAGCAATTATGGCTTAAAAAAATAAGGGAAGAACAAATGAGTGAAATGGATACTTTAAAAGATGAAATTTTAGAGAAAAATCTTTCAACTTCAAATCAATTTTCCTCAAAAGATTCGGAAACTGTTTGGCAATCGAATACTTCAATGGAAGAATTGAGAAGAGAAGTGGAGGAGACAAGATTTGTTTTGCCATTTTCTCTTGAAGATTTTCAAAAGCTGGAGGATGAAGTTAAAGAACATCATTTTCTGTTTGTTTTTAGAATTTATCTTTTTCCTTTAAATTTATTTTTAGGCAAATTGATGCAAAAGGACATATGAAACAGTTTGCCCTTAAATGTTATGAATATGGACGGTATAGCCCTACTTATGGAAGTGAAAGTCATATAATGCCTGGAATTGAAATTCTGGATGGAAACGAAGATGCAGAAAAATTACAAGAGGCTAGAAAAAGAAAGAAAGGGGAAAGGATTGAAGCTGATTTATCTGTATATTTTTTTGGATAATTTTAATATTTTTTTAATTTTTAGGCGAGTGATAAACGTATGATGGATATTGCAAAACAAGGAATGACTGAAGACGAAGCAGTTTTTGCTGTTGAAGAAGCACTTGAAAAACAGCACTTTTTGTGGTCTGATAAATATAGACCTAGAAAACCTCGTTATTTTAATCGAGTAAATTAATTTTTATTTTTAAATAAAATTAAAAAATATTTAGGTACATACAGGCTTTGATTGGAATAAATATAATCAAACTCATTATGACATTGACAATCCACCACCAAAAATTGTTCAAGGATATAGATTTAATGTAAGAGATTTGTAATTTAATAATGCAAGATTGTACTTCTGCGTACTTTTTTAAAGGACTTTTCCTTTAATCTTTTCTTTTTTGCCTTTATTTGGGGTGTTAAAATGTGGTCTTATTAAGTAAGTGATAGACAAAAACTGGGAAAATAGAGGAAAATCCATTAAAATGTTCATGAATTGTTTAACAATAATAATATTTTTTTAAAGATTTTTTATCCTGATTTACTCGATCAGACACAAACACCCAGTTTTGCATTAATAAAATGTGAAGATTCTGATTTTGCAATTCTTCGTTTCAAAGCTGGGCCCCCATATGAAGATATTGGCTTTAAAATTGTAAATAGAGAATGGGAGATTAGTTATAAACATGGATATAAATGTCAATTTCAAAATGGAGTTTTTCAACTTTGGTTTTTCTTTAAAAGATATAGATATAGACGATAAATACCTATTTAAAATTAAAATTTGTATTTTTTCCCTATTAATAAAATTTAAAAATATTCTTTTGAAATTTATTTTTTAATTAATTTATTATTTAATTTTTATTTTTTTAATTATTAATTCAACGAAATTATTTTTTTCTTTTATTGTTTAAATGCCTTATTTACAACCTACCTCTTTTCGTCAGAAAAATCAAAGATGGATTCACAGCCAACATTTTGTGTATCAATTATGTCGTTCATTATTAACAGTTAATGAAATTGGTTTTTTTCTTGTGGCAATTTTTATGTTTTTGGTTGAATTAATAATGCTTTATCAAATTATACAGAGAGTTCCTTGTTAGTTTTTTTTAAATTAAGAAGAATATTTTGTATCTGTCATTCACTGTTTTGAATTCTCTTATGAAATTTAATAAGGGGTCAAACATTTTTTGCTTGCCTTTAAAGAGCATTTCACAAAATTTCCCTATTTTTTAAATTCTCATACATTTTTCTAAAAATAATTATTTAAAAATTAGATACAGAAATCGATTGGAAGACATATATGCAACAAGTTGAATGTTATTTAAATGGAGAACGGAATTATTCTAAACTTGTTGGTGATACAGGGCCAATTGTGTATGTTTTTACTATTTTATTTTTTTATTTAAAAAATTTATTATTTAAAGTTATCCAGCTTTTCATCTTTATATTTACCGTTTATTTTACTCATTAACTGATGAAGGAAAGAATATTAGAAGAGCCCAATATATTTTTGCTTTTTTATATCTTTTTAATCTTTTACTTGTTTTTCGAATTTATTTTAAAAGTAAAAGGGTGAGGAGATTTTTATTTAAAAAATTTTCTTTTTTTTTTATTTTTTAGATTCCTCCTTTTGTTCTTTGCCTAATTTGCCTTAGTTCTTATAGAATTCACTCAATTTTTGTTCTTCGTCTTTTTAATGATCCTATAGCCATGTTTTTATTTTATTTGGCTGTTAATTTTTTTATATCAAGGCAATGGATTTTTGGCTGTATTTTTTATAGGTTCTTCAAAAATATTTTTTTTGAGAAAATTTTAATTCTTTTAGTGCAGCAATTGGGGTGAAAATGAATATACTTTTATTTGCCCCGGCTCTTTTCTTTATTTTACTTCTTAGTAATGGTCTTACAGATACTTTTTGTCTTTTATTTGTCTGTGGATTTGTTCAGGTTTAACATATATTTTTTTATTAAAATTTTCTTTTTAGTTTTTTATTTCTTTTGAATTTCTTTTTAACAATCCTTTTGCTTATCTGAGTCGTGCTTTCGAGTTAAATAGAGTTTTTCTTTATAAATGGACTGTTAACTGGAGAATTTTACCAAAAGAAGTATTTCTAGATAGACGATTTCATCTTTTACTTTTATTATTTCATTTGGCCTTTTTGAGTTTATTTGCTCTTAAAGTTTGGTTTAGGTTATTCTAATTTTATTTTTAAAATGATTTTCTTTTATTTTTTAGTGAACAAGGTGGCCTAAAAAATCTTTTAAAAAGGCTTTGGTTTGGAATTCGAACTAGACTTGATACACATGGTTTTCTAAATTTAAATTTATTTTTTATTAAGAATAATTTCTTTAGATGTTCTTTTTTCACTTTTTACTGCCAATTTAATTGGAATAACCTTTGCTCGGTCATTACATTATCAATTTTACTGTTGGTACTATCATTCAATTCCATATTTAATATTCGCGCCAATTTACCGATTTGATCATATTTTGTATAATGGAGATAATAATTCTTACACTAATAATAATTATATTCCGTTTAAACAAATTTTGTTTAGGTATTTTTCTTTTAAATATTTTTTTGAATAAATATTTATTTTTAGATTACCAATTTTGTTTTTGATTGAAATTTGTTGGAATATTTATCCTTCAACATTTTTAAGTTCTTTTTTGCTACATTGTCTTCATGCAATTATTTTATTTTTGGCATTCAAATGTAGAGTAAATCGAACCAAAAATATTAATTAAATTATTTATTGGCTCTGAAAATCAAAATAAATTTAATGTATTTTTTTCAAACGAGGATATTTTCTTTTACAGAATATATTTTTTATAGTAAATAAATAATCTTTCTTTTTATCTTTTTTATAAATTAAATTATTTAAATTTATTAAAATTATTTTTTTTGTATTTAATAATTTTTCTAAATAAAATTTAAATTTATTAATGCTTATTATGGCTTCTCGTTTATTTTGTCATTTACGTTCTGCAAGCACTTCAGCAAGTAAAGTTGTTCCTCCTTATATTAAAGTATATTTTATTTAATTTTTGATATTTATTTTTTAAAGGTATTTGACAGAGAAACAAAACGTAAACAAAGAAATTGGAGTGCAACCCAATCCGAGTTTGAATTAACTAGGTTTATACGAGATGAGGTTTTTTGTTTTATTTTTAAGTAAAATTATTATTAAATTTAAGTTTGGCTATCGTTTGGCTGATAAAGGTTTTCTTTGTTTTTTAAACAATTTCTAAATTGTCTTAAAGTTTTTGATTTGTTAAAGAAAAACACCGTTTGTATCGATCTTGGATGTGGAGCTGGGCATATTGGAATGCACTTAATCAGGGAAAATGTTGGTTGTTTAATTCAACTTGATATGAGTGAAGTAATGGTTAGAGCTAGTAAATCAGCAGAAGAAAATGAGGTTAATCTTTGATATAAATAAAGGTTTTCCTTTTAAATTTCTCTCATTTTAGTTTCCAACTTTTCGTGCTATTGCTGATGAAGAATTAGTTCCATTTCGTCCAGAATGTGCCGATTTAATTTTGAGTGGTCTTTCTGCCCATTGGATTAATGATTTGCCAAACTGGTTTCTTCGTTGTTTTCAAACACTTAGAGAAGATGGTGTAATGATTGGTGGATTGCTAGCTGGTGAAACGCTTCACGAATTGAGAATTTCTTTACAATTAGCAGAAATGGAAAGATTGGGAGGTATTGGGGCACATGTTTCTCCTTTTGTTGAGGCACAGGATATTGCATCATTGATGAATAGAGCTGGCTTTCAATTGGTAACTATAGATGTGGACGAAATTGTGGTATGTATTTTATTTTTAATTTATAAATTTGGAGTCCTTTTTATCAGGCCCATAAACGGTATTTAAGTTATTTTTAAAGACTGCGAGAATCTTTCTTAATTATAAAAATTATTCTGAATATTTTTAAAATTAACAATTAATTTTAAGAGTAGGTAATTTATTGTATTTAATTTATTGTATTAATTATTGTATTTATTGTATTTAAATCATTATTTAGATAAATTATCCGGATATATTTTCCCTAATATTTGATCTACAATTTATGGGCGAATCAAATGCAACATTCACCCGATCAGCTAGCCTAAAAAGAGATATTCTTATAGCAGCAGATGGAATATATAGACAGATGTTTTGTACACAAGAAAATAAGTAAGATAATAATCATAGTTAAACTTTTCTAAATATTCACTCCTCGGAACTAAATTTAATTGACGTATAGAGGAAGGTGACATGGGAAGGGGTGACCTTATCAAAAAAGGTCGACTATTTTTTTATTTCATTCATAGTTATCCAGCGACATTCCAAATGATTAATTTTATTGGTTGGAAGCCTGGGGCAAATATGCCAAAAGTAGCAAGGAGAGGCTCTCAAAGTGTATCTTTTAAAGATCTCTCAAAATTTATAGAAACTGAAATGACAAGAAAAGAAAATGATGAATTTAATAATAAATGAATTTTGTATATTTTTTTACTTTAAAAATTAATTTTTATTAAAAATCAATTTATAAATTTAAACAGTTGAGGAATGCACTTTTTTATCAGATGTAGATAACTGATATAAATAATTAATTATTGCTCTCTCTATTTCTTAACTTTCTTCTTTTAATAAAAATGTCTTTCTTCAAAGGTTCTTCTATTTCATTTCTTCGTAATTTAATTATTGGTCAAACTCGGCAATACACGTTTTCAAAACTGGTGATTTTTATTATTTAAAAGAAAATAAAATTTTAATTGTTTAGTAAAACTAAATAATTACCTAATTATTTTTTAAATTAAAATTAATTCTTTTCTTTTTTTAGTTTAACAACAAAATGTCTACAAATAATTCTAATTTATTAAATGGATTTAGTCCTACTCACGTTGAGCGAGAAAATTACAAGGGAAATTCGATTTTAAAAGATTCTGTGGACAGTGTTGACCCAGAGATTTATGCTCTTCTTAAAAAAGAAAAGGAAAGACAAAAACTTGGAATTCATTTAATCGCTAGTGAAAATTTTACAAGTAAAGCTGTTAGTGAAACTGTTGCTTCTTGTTTAACAAATAAATATTCAGAAGGATATCCTGGTGTTAGGTAAGAAGGAGGAGCAAGGGCGTATCCTGAGTGACGAGTTGTAGCCTAGTTGAGATGGGAAAAATTTTTTGTTAGGAACTCCTTAATTTTCTACTTTCCTTGTTATATTCCCGAAATTCGACACAATTCGTTATTTTATTGTTTACGCCCTTTGCAAAGGGGATTTAATTATATTTTCTAGCAAAATATTTCAATCTCTAAATATTTTTTAGATATTATGGTGGAAATGAATATATTGACCAAGTTGAGAATATTTGTAAAAAGAGAGCTTTACAGCTTTTTGGATTAAATTCTGAGAAATGGGGTGTTAATGTTCAAGTATCTAATTTTTAAGGATTTTATTTAAAAAATTTAAAGGCACTTTCTGGTTCTCCGGCTAATTTTGCCGTTTATACTGCTATTGTTGAACCTCATGGACGTTTAATGGGTTTAGAATTAACAGATGGTGGACATTTAACACACGGGTATTTTTTAGTAAATAAAAATTAAATATTTTTTAAAGTTTTTTTTCACCAACAAAAAAAGTATCTGCAACTTCTTTATTTTTTGAATCAATGCCTTATAGAGTTAATCCAAATACAGGATTAATAGACTATGATTTATTAGAACAAAATGCTCTTTTATTTAGACCTAAATTAATTATTGCTGGTATTTTTTTAATTTTCTTTTAAAAATTTTTATTATAAAAATGAAATTTAGAATTGATAAAAATTCTTTTAAGGGGTATTTTCGGAAATTTTTAGTTTAATTTTATTCAAAAAATTATCTACTATCTTTTTTTAAATTTTGGTAATTCCGAGTTTAGCCTCCTCCATTCATTATTTTTTCCCTATGTAAACTATTAATTAAAAAGTTATTTTTTAACATTTGTGCTAGAATTTCATTAAAAAATAACAACTAAAAAATATTTTTATTTATTTAAAGGAATAAGTTGTTATGCTCAATTATTAGACTATAAACGTTTTCGTGAAATTTGTGATAAATGTGGGGCCTTTTTGATGGCTGATATGGCACACATTGCTGGTTTAGTTGCTGGGGGTGCAATTCCCTCACCTTTTAATTATGCTGATATTGTTACAACAACAACACATAAAACGTTTATTTGAATTAATTTTAAATAATTTATTTTTGTATTTAGTTTGAGAGGACCTCGTGGTGCTTTAATTTTCTTTAGAAAAGGTTTTTGTAAATAAATAAAATTATTTTAGGTTCCTTCCTTTAGGTGTCAAATCAATTAATAATAAAGGAGAAAAAACTTTTTATGATTTTGAATCAAAAATAAATTCTGCTGTCTTCCCAGGACTTCAAGGAGGGCCACACAATCATTCAATTGCAGGTTTAATTTAATTTTAAAAGGGAATTTAAATAATTATTTTTAGCTATTGCTGTAGCGTTAAAGCAATGTTTAACAAATGAATTTGTTGAGTATTCACATCAAATATTAAAAAATGCAAAAATTTTGGCTAATTCTTTACAAAATAAAGGATATACTTTAATTACTGGTTTTTTTGGATTTTTAAAAAATAAATAAAAAAAATTTTTTTTTAATAATTAGGGGGAACACAAACACATTTATGTCTTTTGGATTTACGTCCAAAACATTTAGATGCAGCTAGGATTGAACATATTCTTGATTTGGTACATATTGTGACTAATAAAAATACTTGTCCAGGTTAGTTTAAAAGAAAATTTTAATGTTTGGAAAAAAAGGGGGGGTATGGGGAACTTTAAGTTATTTTAAAACTTTAACGAAGAAAGATATTAACAACAACTAATTGGAGGAAATAATTCAAAAATAATTTAAGGAGACAAAAGTGCCCTAAAACCAGGTGGAATTCGTCTTGGAACTCCAGCAATGACTTCTAGAGGTTTAAAAGAAAAAGATTTTGAACAGATTGCTGAATTTATAAACAAGGGTATTTTTTTTATTTTAAATTAAAAAATAATTATTTTTTAAGCAATTGAAATTTATCAAAAAAATGAAGAAATTTTTGTTGAAGCAAAAACTTTAAAAGAATTTAAACAAATAATTGCAAATAACGAGAAATTTAAAAATGAAATTAATTTGTTGGGGAAGGAGGTTATTGAATTTTCTAAATGTTTTGATTTGCCTGGTGGAGATGATATTTAATAAATTGGAGAAAATAAAGGATTTTCACTTACCTATATTCTCAGTTTTTCACTTATTTAATTTAATCTTGGAATTTATAAATAAAAAATGTGAATTTTTTAAAATTAAATTAATTAATTAACTTTTAAAAATTATTTTTATTTTCTAAAACAATTTTTCTCTAAAAATTAATTTAAAAAAAGGAAATGTCAATAACAACAACAAATTGGATTCGAGCAGCTTCGGTTATTCTTTTAAATATTAAACAAAATAAAATGTTAATATTACAAAGAGGTTCTTCAGCTAAATTTATGCCTAATTCTTTTGTTTTCCCCGGTGGAGTTGTTGACCCTTTAGATTTTAAATTTCCAATTGAAAAAACAAATTTTGATAAATTAATAAATAAATAAAAATTCAAAAATTAATTTGGGATTAGAAAATGATTTTTATTTGCGTATTTGTGCAATTAGAGAAATGTTTGAGGAAAGTGGAATTTTAGCAATAACTGATAAAGAAGGAAATAAATCAGAATTATTGTCTGCAGCAAAAGATGAAAATTTGTCTGAATGGAGAAAAAAAGTTTTTTTAAAATATTTTAGACAAAAAAATATTTTTTTAAAAAGATATTATCTAATCCAAATTTATTTCATGAAATCTTTTCTGTTAATATGAAAATAGATGTTGCCTCATTAATTCCCTGGGCTAATTGGCTTACACCTTTTGGTGAATATTCCAAAAGGTTTTTTTGTTTATAAATTAAATGTGAATATTATAAAGATATGATACAGCATTTTTTGTTTTAATTACAGAGGAGTGTCCAGAAAGTATTTTTTGTATTAATGAAATGATGAATTCTTTCTGGATAAAACCATCAGAAATAAATGAAAGGAGTGTTAAAGGTAAAAGAAAGGAGAGAAAAATATTTCCTTTTATTTTTTAAAAGGTGAAGTAAGCCTTCCTCCACCACAATTTTATGAACTTGAAAGACTTCAATTAGTCCTTAAAAATGAAAAAGAGAATTTAAACAAATTTACAAATACAACAAAAATAACTCCGCACATTTTTAAAATTAAAGAACAACAAAATATTCATTTATCTATTTTGCCTGAAGATTATTTATACGATAATTTAAATCCAAATTTTAAACCAACAAATATTCTTCCATCAAATGAACTACTTCCACCATATTTAGAGGATAAACAAATTCATCGAATTATTACTCATTCAACTCCCCCATATCTATTTTATCATGGACACAAACTTTTTATTCAAAATATTAACAAAAATTTTAAACATTGATAAACTACCGTATTTGCTCTATTAATCCCCCAGTCTTTATTAATCCCCCAGGCTCTATTAATCCCCCACCCTAGAGATGGGTTGAAACAATAATCCCCCTGGGGGATTACTAGAGCAAATACGGTATGTATTTAATTCAGAGAATTGTTGATTAAAAATTTAATCCTAAAATTTTTAACTAGTACTATACCACTTTTCTACTACATACCATTTGTAATTCCCTTTTATTTGGAAATTGAAAGAAATCTTTTGATTTAAAAATTACAAAAGAAATTTTGTAATTAAAAATTACGCATTTTTGATTTTTTTTTTCATTAATTTTACATTTTGCCAAAACAGAAAGATTTTAAATGTAATTTTGGTGACTTTTGATTAAGAACAGGGTTCGATTAGATCCACTTCTGTCATACATACTATTGCTTATTACTATATTTTTTAGAAATGTCAGATAAAAGTACTCCAATTGTTGCGCCGGATGGTGGAATGATCGTTCAGCGTGATCCGAATGTGAGCTATGAGATTTTTCTTAGTAAATTTTATTTTAGAAAATTGCCAGTTCCGGTGATCACGATCCTGTCTATGATAAGCTAGAACATGCATTTGGAGTTTCAACAGCAACGAATGGGACGTTGTCAGCTGAATTTGATTCATCAGCTGAACTCATCATGAAATTACAGAATATGTTGAGGAGCATCGAACTCAGTTTGGACAAAGGTATGTAATAAGGATTCATAACATTGTCTTAAACCTGGAACCTACAAGTATATACCAGTGATTCGGATTTTCAATTTTTTTCCATTTGTTCCAGGAGTACATTTGCTTATTTCTGATGGGTGTCTGGGTGTTTAATTTATTTTTTTTCAGTTAGTCTTTCATTTGCATTTGACGAAGTTATAATGGAAGCGGTTAATTCTATTAAACCTCCTCGGAATTCTATGGACGCCTCAGATCCTTTAGCGGAAACATATATTAATCCTCTATTCAAATCATGTTTGAATAAGGCAGCTTCTTCTGCTTTTGATTATTTAATTGGATTGTATGGGCGCTGTAATTCTTTAGTTAATCAGGTTTTAATTAAATTTTTTAACAATTTTATTTTCAATTTTTAGAGTCATCTAGGGCTTTCTGCCAAAATATTTTCAACACTATCTGAGCGGGCAAAAGTACAATTTATTTTATTTCTTCGAGGACTTTTATGTGCTAACAAAAAGTAATTAATATTTTTGTCTCTTTACAATTTGTTTTTTAGCTCATCTTATCAAGACATTTCAACAGTCTTCACCAAGTTTATGTTAACAAATCTTGAGTCAATTTCTCCGTTTCTGCGCGATATAATTGTTTGCTGTAAAGATGTGGCATTGACTGATGATAGTGCGCTAATTGAGGTTGTAAACACCTATCTAAATTATTGCGTCTTTATTTCTTTAATTTTTGTTTCCACTAAAATATTTTAAATTTGATTTTGATTTCAAATGAAATTAGCTTTTATTTTTTTAGGTTTTTGGTCCTGTTCTTGACATTCTTCGCTCTTGTGCAACACACATTAATATGACAAAGCTATTTGAAGACAAGCATTATTCTCTTCTCTTGCTTTTGCTTGAAATTAAAATGTCTGACAATACTCGCCCAATTGCTGATTTGGTTGGTTAAGAAAGGAATTTTAAACAATTTTTTTAATTTTTAAGATTGTTTCGCGTCCAGATTTCCATCCTAAACATCTTATCACTAATTTTAAAGGACGTGAATTTGTTCATTCTTCATTCCTTGGCCCTTTTATTGCATTTAGCATTGCTGGTAGCCAATCGCCTCTTTACGTGAGTACATTTAAAGTTAATTTTTAAAAAAACTTTAGGAATTTTGCTTTGACCACAATGATGTTTTGTTTGATTATAGTGACATGGAGAATAAAGAAGTGAAAATTAATGAATTTCAGACTCAGTTGCGCATGATGAGAGTAATGATCTTTGACAAGTTTCTATATTCTTCACTTTTATTGCAGATTAAAATGCATCAAATCTTTCATGCATTAATTGTAAATTCTTCAACCAGAAATCGGACTCTTGGCTATATCAGCGAAATTTTGGACACTAATAAGAAATTATCACAAATTCAAGTTGAATATGAACAATTAGCAAATCCTACTGCAATGTTGAATATGCTTTCCATTCTTCTTGATTTTGATAAAATTCCTGTTGAAAAAATTCAAGATGATTACATATTTCACCCAAAATGTCGGATTAAAATGACTGAAATTAATACTCTCAAAATGGATAATGATATGATTGAAGCATATCGTAAAAAAATTGGTGAATTTTGGATGATTTATAATTTTTATGTTAATCATTTTTAGATCTCTCTTATAATCCCAGCTTTAACACCGAGTGCTTTTATTTGACTATTGCTTTTATGGGGATTAGGTTATTACTGATTATTGTATTTATTTTTTGTTTTTAGCATGACGACAATGATGAATAATTTGTCTCGTATGGATAGGCATATCTATGAGATTCGTAGACAGTTGCGGGATGCCGAGGAGCAACTTCAACGAAAAGGCCAGAATCCGTCTCAACTCAATCGCATCCGAGCAATAACACAACGTACTAAGGAACTTTTGAAGGTTGGCCAGTTTTTCCTATAAAAACTTTTGACATTTAGCGTTTTACATTGAGCAATGTTTGTTATGATTGTCTGATTAACGATCAAAATTTGTTAACAAAATGCTCAAATTTCGTAAACAAATTGCTCAGACTTTTTCTTCGCAGTGTTATGCCTGATTCGTAAGTAATTTTATAATGAGTTCTACATAGTTTGACGAGAATTATTTTCTTTTTAGAGGAGTTGATTATCGTTCATTTACCCCGTGTATCGAACGATTTGCCTCGTTGCCTGAAGCTTTTCTCGAAACTGGCATTGAATTTTTACACTTTCTTCTTGAGTTTGTGTTCGAACATTATTTTTAATCTTTTTTTTTTATTTAGACATCCTCAGCGTTCAAAGGTTCTTCTTTTGAATGTATCAGACTATCCTCGACTAATTTTAAACCTGATTGTAAATTTGCCGCATATAAAGAATCCATTCTTAGCATCAAAAGTGTTTTCTGACATCAAATTGATTCTAATCCAATAAAAAATTTAGATTGTTGATTTGTTTTTCTTTACCTGTCCAGATGTATCTTCAGATGCCGGCTTCTTCTTTAGGCAGATTATGAACGATAAAATTGCTGTAGATAACTTGTTTCCTGCCCTTGTCAAATTTTATGCTGACGTTGAGTCAACCGGTGCTTTTTTATTATTTATAAATTATTTTTAAAATTTTAGGATCAAATACTGAGTTCTACGACAAATTTAATATTCGACGAAATATTCAAGTTATCTTTCGGGTATGAATTTATTTAAAGAAATTTTGTTTAAAAAACATTTAGTCTATGTGGATGGACCTTGCTCATCGCAAAAGGATGGTTCAGTTCGCAGAGTAGCTTTAAACAATTGTTATTTTTAATTTTAAGTACTTTGTGTTTTAGAGAATCTTCTCCTGATTTTTATCGCTTCTTGAATATGGTAATTAATGACACTACATTTTTACTTGACGAATCACTCGAGAAATTAAAGGTTTTCTTTCTGAAATATATTTTTGCATTAATTCTTATTAGAGAATAAATGAGATTGAAACCCAAATGTCGAATGAAGTGGCGTGGAATTCGTTAAGAGAGGTTGATATATTTTCCCATTTCTAAATAATATAAATATTTAGGAGGAGCGCCAACATAGATCCGAACTTTTGGGTGATGCAAAACGTCAAGTTCGGATTTGGCTTCGATTTGGTACTGAGACAATGGAATTGTTTGTAACGTTAACTGGTGATGCTCCACAAATTTTCCTTCAAGAGGCTCTCGGTGATCGTGTTGCTGCTATGCTGAATAATAATATTGTGCAGGTTGTAAATTCTTCCTTTCCTAATTAAATTTTCGCAGCTTTGTGGGCCTAAATGTTCTCAACTGAAAGTTCAGGATGCAAAGAAGCGATTTAATTGGGATCCTAGAAAGTTAACAGAACTTATTGTTAAAGTAATTTTCTCTTTATTTAATCGTTATATTTATTATCAATTTATGTCTACGTCAATCTTGCTTCTAGTCATTTTGCCAAACAAATTGCACAAGATGAGGTACATAATTGTTTTTTAATTTATTTGAAGGATCCAATTTTAGCGTTCTTATACTCCTGCTACTTTTGATTCAATCCTTAAACGTTTCGAGGAAAAATCAATTTTGCCTGTCAGTCAGTTTGAATCATTCAAAAATTTGGTTGAGCAAGCGAAGGAAGCCCACAATGAGAAAGTTAAGTTCGAAGAGAAATTTGAAGATGAGATTCCAGATGAATTCAGAGGTTGTTAGCTTTTATTGTTTTAAAATTTAAATTTTTATTAAGATGAAATTCTTTTCACATTGATGAGCGATCCAGTCACACTTCCTTCTGGTCAAGTAGTTGATCGAAAGAATATTTTACGTCATCTTCTCAGTGATCCACACAATCCATTTACTAGACAGCCTTTAACTGAAGACGAACTGAAGCCAAGTTTGCTTTTTTGTAATGTTTCTATTATCTAAAATTTTAGATGTTGAACTTAAAGCGCGCATTACCAGTTGGGTAAATGAAAAGAAAAGTGAAATTAACAAGAAAAGCGCATCAAAGTCTTGATTGAGAATGAAATGAGAATTAATGCTTTTGCCCATTTTCCCCAAAAAATGTATTTTTCCTTTGGTATATTCATTAAATATTGATTCCCTTTCCTCGTAATTTTAAAAATGGTTCGATGAAACGCCTTATGCTTTTGATATTTCTTGTTACCTTTTTCTTTTATGCAAGCACGTGTAATCTACAATATATAAAATTTATATTTATATCATATGTGAATTGTTAAAATTTCCTTTTATATAAAATTATTCAATGTTTCTTTTTTTGATTTATTTAAAGTATAATAAATAGTTATTGAACTAAAATATTTTATCAAAAATAATTTTAGTTGTTTTTGTCTATTTTGTTGTTTATTTTTGCAATTTAATTCTTATATAATAATGATTTCAACAAAATTTCGGGGGACACGAAAGGTTTTTATTGTTTTTTGAATTTTAATTTCATTTTAGTTGATCGATTTATTCCCCTCACGTTCTTTTGCTAATGTTCAAGAAGTAACTCTACAAACAAGACCATACAAATTATTTAAATTAGGTTTGTTTTTATAAGTTTTTGTTTAATTCTTAATTTTTTCCGATAATGGACCTAAATCTGAGACAATTTTAACAAAGGAAGATGCTATATTTTATTTTCAAAAGATGCAAACAATTCGCAGAATGGAGGTTTGGAAGAAGGGATATTTTGTTGAAAATATTTTATATTTTAGACAACAGCTAGTAATTTATACAAAGAGAAGAAAATTCGTGGATTTTGTCATCTTTATTCGGGACAGGTAAATATTGGTTTATTTTAGGGAGAACAAAATGATAAATTTTTGGAATGATTTTTTAGAATTTTACAATTAATTGTATTTAAGATTAAATTTTTAAATAATTTAAGGAAGCTTGTGCCATTGGAACATATGCCGCGATGGATCCAGAAGATGCTGTTATAACTGCTTATAGATGGTTTTTTTTTTCTAAATTTTCTCTTATTATTTATTAATTAATTAGTCATGGTTGGACATATATTATGGGTGCACCGGTAGTTGATGTTATTTCTGAATTAACTGGTAGAGAGAATTAATTTGTTAAAAATTGTTTTGTAATTTTAGGTAGAATTTCTGGAAATGTTTATGGAAAAGGTTTTTTAAAAAGAGAGAATATAAGAGAAAATATTTTTTTAAAAAAGGGGGTTCTATGCATATGTATGCAAGAAACTTTTTTGGTGGTAATGGAATTGTTGGTGCACAAATACCTCTTGGAGCGGGTATTGCTTTTGCAATGAAATATAGAAATCAGAAAAATATTTGTTTGACATTATATGGGGATGGAGCTGCAAATCAAGGACAATTATTTGAATCAGCAAATATGGCAAAACTTTGGAATTTGCCTGTTGTTTTTATTTGTGAAAATAATGGAGTTAATTTTGAATTAAATATTTTTTTTAATTTTATTTTTTTAAATAGTTTGGTATGGGTACTTCTGTTGAAAGGGCATCTGCTTCTACTGACTATTACACTCGAGGGTTAGTTTTTAATTTTAACAGAAAAGAGGGTACCCATTTCTTCTAGCATTAGAAAATTGAAGAAATGAAAATTATTAACATTTTTCAGAGATTATGTTCCTGGTATTTGGGTGGATGCAATGGATGTTTTAACTGTTCGGGAGGCTATTCGTTTTGCAAAAGAATGGTGCAATGCGGACAATGGTCCTCTAATGGTTGAATTCGCTACATATCGTTATTATGGACATTCAATGAGTGATCCAGGGACTAGGTGAGTATTTATATATTTTTTGGAATAATTTAAAATAATTTTAAAGTTATCGGACAAGAGATGAAATACAGGAAGTCCGAAAAACTCGTGACCCAATTACTGGTTTTAGGGACAGAATTCTTACGGCTGGTTTGGTTACTGAGGAAGAATTGAAGGTGATTTTTGTCAGATTAAAAATAAATATTAAAATTTTAATAGGGAATAGAAAAAGAAGTACGTCAAGAAGTTGATGAAGCAACAAAAATGGCATTATCTGAGGGAGGTAAAAAAAGAAATAATTTTTTAATTTAAAGAAAATTCAATTTAAAGTTTTGCCACCAGAAGCTTTATATAGTGATTTATATGCAAATACTCCGCCCCAAATGGTACGAGGCACAACTTTTGACAAATCAACAGTTCAGCAATATGCAACCACTGCTGAATTATTGGGAAAGATGGGACGCCCAACAAAGTCATATTAAAAAAATAATTATTTAGATTAATAGAAAATAGAGAAAATTACTATAAAATTGTTATTTTTGGATTTATATGTTTTGAATAAAGATTAGATTCGGAATTAATTTAGACAATATAGATAACGAAATAACAAAAATCTTTGGCCTCTTCTAGATAAAAACAAAAATACTTTTTTTGTCCTTTTGAATTAAAATTAGGGCAAATGTTTGGCGCAATCTAAAATATTTTTTATATTTACTCACATAATTGAGGATTAAATAACAAAGAAAAATTGAGGATTTAGAAGGAAATAATTGCAGTAAAGAAAAGAATTTTAAAAAATAGAGAGATTTCTTCTTTACGCCAATCTTTGTAGGGAATTGTAGGTAGAAAGTGGTTGGTGGTGGTCATTTCTTTGAATTTTCTTTTTAAAAATTTAAAACATTTTTAAGTTTATTTTTATTTTAATCAAACAATTTCAGAGAGAGAAATGATATTCATAACATTTTTATATTTAAATTTATTTATTATTTTTATATTTTTAATTACAAAAATTTGTAACGGAATTAGTTTAGTTTTTTTCTTTTTTTTTTAAATAATTAGTTAAATTTTAAAGTGTTATGTGAAGTTCAAGGAACTTGTTTAAAATGTCCAGATGGCCATATTAGTCATTTTATTTGTCGAAATAATGAAGATTGTTTTAGAGAAGAATATTGTTATTTAAAGAGGGGATTTTGTTGTTTAAATAAAAATACTTCTACAAATTCTAAAATAATTTTAAATAAATGCCCGGATGGTTCTAGATTTGGAAAATTGTGTAAAATAGATGTCGATTGTCTTTTTAAGGATGAAATTTGTATTGAAGGGAAGTGTTGCCCTTCTTGTAGACAAAGACGTTTATTGGCTTTAAGAGAACTTAGAAGTATTGGAATATCTTTTTTTAATAAAGAAGAAAAAGAAAATAAAAAAGAGGAATTTATACCTCAATGTAATGATGATGGAAAGGTATTTTTGGAAATTAATTTTAGAAATAAAGATTTGTAGAGAATATTCAAAATATTTAAGATATTAAAAAAAATTTTTTTAAAAGTATTTTCGTCCAATGCAATGTGTTGCCCATTCAGGAGAGTGTTTTTGTGTTGATAAATTTGGAAGAAAAAATATTAAAAATAATTTACTAAAAGAAAATATATTAGTAAATTGTTCAATTATTAGAGAAAAACAAGAAGAAATAAATAAAGAAGAAAATAAATTAATTAGTAGTACAAAAATAGCTTTAAATAAAGATAAAGAAATAATTAATAATAATTGTACAGATCCTTTACGTGAATTTCGTTTGTTTTTAAATTTAAATTTTAAAATTAAAAAAATAATTAAAGATAATTGTGGAAGTATTTGCCCTATTTCTTGTTTTTCTAAAAATAATTTATTTAAATGTCCACAACAAGAACAAGTAAATTTTGTGTGTAAAATTAAAAATAAAATTAATTTTAAAAAAGTGTATGAAAGGTTGTTTTTGTCGTTTACCTTTTGTTTTATTAGATTATTCTAAACCTTTTAATTCACCGTAAGTTTTCTTTAAAAAAATATTTTTTTTTAATTTTTTAATTAAAAAAAGTTGTGTTCTTCCGTCAGAATGTCCATTACTTTCATTTACTTCAGATTTAAATAAATGGAATAATGGGGGGTTTTTTCCTTCATTTACCCCAACAACAACAAAAACAAATAAAATAAATAAAAATAATAAATGTAAAGATTCTTTTAAAAATTATCAAAATTGTGGGAGTGCTTGTCCTACTGGTTGTGGAAGATTATTGTTACCTTCTAATAATAATTTTGAAGATGAAGATAATAATTCATGTTCTTCTAATTGTGTACCTGGGTAAGAAAAAAACTTGGATTTAAATGGGGAGATTAGGGAAACTAGAGAGAGAGAATGTAGATGAATCAATTCTCGCTCTCAATTATTCACTTTCTGGACCTATTAATTATTTCTATCATACATACAAATTTCCCGAACTAAAATCAAAAAATGTTTTTACTTTTTAATAGGGATATTTTGTTATTTAACGTTTACAGTCCATTTAAAGAGTTTTAAACTTTTAGATGTTTTTGTCGAATTCCTTACGTTTTGCGTGATCCAAATGACCTTAATTCGGAGTGTATATTACCCAAATTCTGCCCTTTACAACAATTTGCACTGCAAATACCTCAACAAATTTCATCAAATAATTCCTCTATTAAAGAAGAAATACTTCAAAAAAATTCAACAACACAATTTGTAGTTAAAAGAAATGGGGAAAGTGAAAGAGAAAAATGCGAAAATGATTTAACAAAAGAATTTTTAAAATGTGGTAAGGGAAAAAATAAAAATAAAAAGTCGCCACTTTAATCTTTTCTCGAAAGTTTTGACAAGTCAATAACGGATTTCTGGTTCACAGAAGTATATTGAATGACTATTTTTAATTATTTAAGTTAAAAACAGATACATAAATATAATTTTAATTTAGTTAACACCCCTCTCTCTCTCTCCCTCTCAATTCTTCCCCATATTTTTTAAATACATATCCAAAAAACCTTCCAAATTATTTTAATTATTCTAAAAAGGATATGTAATATTTTAAAACAAATTAATTTAAAAAAGGTTCATCTTGCCCTCTTGGTTGTGATCAATTAAATCGCCCTTTTCGTTTTTGTTCTCCTTGTATTTCTGGATGTTTTTGTAAAAATGGTTATATTTTTTTAAATTCTTCTGAATGGGAAATATCCGAATGTATATTACCTTTAAATTGCCCTCCTCCTCAATTATTTAATATTACAAAATTAACGGCAATTCAAGAAAAAGAAAATTGTGGAGAAGCTTTAGCTATTGCTAATCTTTATAATAAAGAAGGAAAAAGAATTGGGAAATTAATTGTTAAACCTGAAAGGAATGGAGAATTTGGAGGAGGAGAAGGGGAAATAAATACTCGAAAGTAATTTTAGTTTTAAAATTAATTCTTTCTTTTAATGAATTCGATTAAATGGAGAATTTACTTCTTTTTCTTCTTCAAATTTATTTTTGTCTATTCATCAATATAGCGATACAACAATAAATGGTTGTTCAAGTATTGGAGACCCATTAAAATTAAATTTAAAAGAAGAAAAAGAAATTAAAGAAGAAATTCAAATAAATTTAAATTATTTAAATGAATTAATTGAATGGAATGAAAAATTTATATATGGAACTAATCCTTTAATTGGACATTCTGTTGTGTTAAAACAAAGAGAAGGAAGTTTAATTAATATTTTAAGTTGTGCTGTTTTGGGAATTGCTCCTAGTTGTTGAAAGGAGAGGAGGGAGGGAATTTTTAAAGAATTTTATTTTTGTAAAAAGATTATTCTTGATTAAAAAAGAAAGGAAGAAATGCTCTCTTTTTAAAATTAATAAAAAATATTTTCTATTTATTTAAAGTTAATTTACAAAAAAGAAAGCAAATAAAATTATCTGCTCCCCCTTTTTGCAAATAAAGGACGGAAGATAATGAAGTAAATTTAAGTTAAAGCGACAAGACACACACATTTTTAAACAAAAATTTAATATTATCTGCCAAAACAAATTTTAGACTCCGGATAAATTAAATTATAGAAAGCGCATAAATTAATAATAAAATTTATTTTTTAAAATTGCAAAATTAAACTAAAAAGGCAAGCACTAATACATATGAGAATAAAATGGCTTTGAAAGCACATAAAATTTACAAGCAAGTATAGGATTGCCTGACATGTTTGGTGTCAATTACAAATATCCTTTAGTCTAGAAAATGCCAACTTTTAATTAAAATATTTTTTTGTATGTGAACAAAAGGGAAAAAATTGGCAGTTAATTGTAAAAAGAATTTATAAAAAATAAATGTATGTCATTACAGTGTCACCTCTAGGGAGGAAGAAATCTGGCATTAAAATGGGAATGTGTGGGTGTCATGTGAAGGTGACACTATAGTTAAGTCTGTATAATTTTTATAAAAAAAATAAGAAGAAGAGGCATTTTTTGAACTGATTACAAAAATATTAAAAGGTATTTTGTTTAAAATATTTTAAGAATAATGCAAAAAGTCAATAGAATATAAATTGAAAAAGAAAATTTAAATAGTGGATATATCAATTTGTATATTTCTTTTACTTTTCTGATATTCAATTGATATCTTTAAATATAAAAAATAAGAAGAATTAAAAATGAGATTCGCTTTTTCTTTGGTAAATAAATTTATTAGAGATTAGAGAAAGTTTAATTGTCATTAATTTTTTAATTTAAAAAAAGCCCAAAATCTCTAATATAAAATTAGACAAATATAAATACAACAAAAATAAAAAAATATAAAAAAGAAATTAATTATAGAATTAAAATTTTGTTTAGAAATTAAATTAAAAAGTTTAAATTTGTCAATTAAAAAATATTTAAAGGCTAAGAAGCCGTGTTATTTGAAGTAATTGAGCGATCTGTATGACTTGCCTCCAATAAATCAATTATCGTCCATTGCCGTCCCCTCAAAGAAAGTTCCAAGTCATGAAATTGTTTAAGGGAAAAACGATGTCCTGTAGAAACAACGGTTATTCCCTCTTCTCGAAAAAGTTGGTAGAGAGCACTTTCCATATCAAACCCTAAACAACTAGTTGCCTCATCAAGGAAAGCTATTCGTGGACGGTGATAGAGAACACGTCCAATTGATAAACGCTAAAAAATTGAAATTTTTTAAACAAATTTAAAAAAATAATTGCCTGTAATTCCCCTTGTGATAAAGAATCATTCCAATCCCATGTAACAGTAGCATCAAAACCACCACAACGAACTAGTAAATAATCCATCTTAATCCAATCAAGTATTTTGGCAAGCCTATCCAAATCCCTCTCTACTGGCAATGCTTTTAATGGATAAACTAATTGTTGACGAAGTGAATGACCCAATGGAAAATAAGCACGTTGTGGGACAAAGAAAAGTGATGAAGGAGGACGTAATGGCCTATTTCTTTCGACATTCCCTGTACAA